ATTGTAAATATCTGTACATGTTTGATGATGGTTGTAGTAGTCCCTCAAGTTTCAGTTCCACACAGTAGAACTGTTTGTATTGAAGATTTACTCTTTGATATTGGCTTTCAGACAGTTCTTTTGAGTTCCATATGTTGTTCAATTGTAGGAATGCTGTTGTTACTGTGCCAATCTTTGCCTTCACGTCTGCATCCGATTTTCCTTGCTCATCGATGATGCTGTCTAGGTGCATGAAAGTTTCCACCTCATCCAGAGTTTCTGCATCACGTGTGATTGGGTTGTTGTTCTCTGTGTTGTATTCGAGGATGTTGGTTTTTCCCTTGTGTATGTTGAGGTCTACTGATGCAGAGGCTTCTGCTACGTTGTTTGTCTTGACCTGCATTTGTTGATGTCTATGGAATAGAAGAGCTAGGTCGTATGAATTCCGGATGATGTTGAAGATCTTCTGAGGTACTCTATAGTGTCAAAGAAGTTTCCACAAAGTCCTCCTATCCACACTGTCAAACCTCTTCATGGTCAAGGAAGCTGATGTAGTGACGAGTTCCACACAACTGATTGTTCAAAAACCATCCGTAGTGTCGCGATTTGGTCTGTGCACGACCGATCATTATGGCATCCAGACTGTTGATCTTGTAGTTGGGCGTCTACTGAATCTTTCATCAGGTTCAGCAACACTCTGTTGAAAACGTTTCCTGGTACGGATAGTATTGTGGTTCCTCTGTAGTTCTCATATTTTCTGAGATCTCCTTTCTTTGGTATCTTGATGAGGTATCGTTCTTTCAAGTCTACCGGCACTGGTTCTTCCTCCAAAGTCTCTGTTACCATGTCTCCTACATATTTTCGCTTGTCAGATCTAATACTCTTCCTCACACGCATGTTTGTTTCCTGTGTTTTAGCTTACTCTGCTCTTGTTTGACTGTTATTAACTGCTATCTTGTCTAGTAGTTCACTTAGAAGAAATAGATGACAACTGCCAGTATCGAATAAATACACTCTATAGTTTTTGATACTTGAACTTTGAAGCCTTCCCTCTATTTTTATGTTGACAAAAACTTAGAACACTCACAATTTAAGATAGGATATTTTTCAATTTATTTCATGACGTACTCACTAGCTACCAGCTTCAAGGTGAGATTCCTGGGAATCTATTGATAATCTATGAAAATGGACTTCAACTATGTTGGTTGTTAGACAGCTACTCACTGTACACAGTTGGATACCGGGTTATTAGTCTAGGGATTAAATGTTTGTGTAAGAAATGAAAGGTTCTTTATTTGGCCCTCTATTCCAGGGGTCATAAATACCCACTATCAGTGAAAAGTCTCACATTAAAACATAATAACTATCTAATGATTCATGGTTTTTAGTAATTCTCTAGATAAGATCATTTCATAATTTAAACTATGAACATTATTTCATCTTACTTTCACTTGTTAAATAGACTTATGTCAATGTAGTTTAATGTATGGCAGTTAAAATCATGTGGATTGTCGATAAAATTTTCCAAAATAATGCATAAATAATTATGTATCTCATAGAAATCACATGTCATTATTTATCATCATTTAGCTAGTTATTATCATAACCGGTGTGATATATTTATATGATTCAGTGAGAGAAAAATGAAAGTATATTGGAAGTACTTAATTGACTACAATTGATTAGACTATTTATTATTACGTTCTACACTTCATGTATATCATCATATAGAACATGTGTAAACTAATTTTTTTTAAAAGACAAATTTATGATCATCTTAGAATATCATTTGTTCTTTGTAGGTTTTGATTTCACATTAAGTGGTGTTTGGTATAAAATGGAGCATTTTATACTGTTTTTATTTTTAATGTATTTGTTATGTACTTAGTTATGTAATATCCTGGACTCTTGTTTTACTTGATTTGAGACTCGCCAGTTGAATGTACATGTATTTCAATGTTGATATTCAAATTGAAACTTGTTAGCGGGACATAGATTGGATTAAAGCACATTTCGTGTTCGATTGTGTTGTTGCATGCTCATTGGTTACGAAGTAGTCAATCAGCGCTTGTCGACACTTGGAGAAGACTCTAGAATCTTCTCATGTAAAAACTATAAATATACTAACGTTTTCCTTGTTATGCTTCCTACTTCAATCTACCCTTGTTATTTAGAATACAATTTAGTTGTTGTTCAACCGTGTTCTGATTTGGGGACTTTTCGATTGAATTAGTGTTCAAGACTACTAAGCAATAGGAATAGCTGGGCCGTAATAAGAGAAATCCTAACAAAACTCAAACTTATTACTTTCCACTTTACACGTTTAATATGTTATCAACTTAACTGATAACTGTAAATAGTCATTAACAGCTGAGTCCCAAATAAAAAGAGTCCACTGTTAAACACTTGTAACATAATTCTAAATTGTTTAAAGTGTCAACACTTATTTTTAAATGATGTGAAATTTGCAACGTTATTCACATACTGACACTGATAGACCATTGCTCAAAACTGATTTTAACGAATCGGTTAGTTAGTCCTATAAGTCCATTATTGATAGGATCATCATTGACAAAAGTTATGGAACAGAAAGATTTAGATGTAAGTTGTAAATTACATATAACAATAGAGATTAATTACAGTTCTGAATATCAATAACAGGAATATGTAAATCCATACTAATACTATTTCAGTGTCCATTTTATGAGAGCTTGTTTTTATTTTGATATGTTAACTGACAGAATAGCTGGGTTTTTTTATTGATTAACTCAACGATACTTACATCCAAACTATTTGTATTTATAAGTATACTCATTAGTTAGCAACAAGATCTGATCCTGCTGCTATATCCTCATGAAATATAGGTACGAAACTCATTTTGTTGACTACCTAAAACATAATTTCAATATCAGTTAGGTCGCTTGTACGTAATTCATTCAAACTTGAAGATCTTTATCATCACAATGAACTATCAGTAATAGTTCAGCAGCAATTAAATACCAAAAACAACATTATCTCTCTTTAATCAAAGCTTCTTTGCAGTAAACACATGCAACCACGTAACAAGTAGAATTTTACACTTTCATGCCATATTATAGATTGAGCATTACTTAGATACTAGGAATAAAAATCTGTTTCCTTCTCAGCCGAGGACAATTTACAAAAAAACATTATGATAAGATAGGGAAATCCATATTCATTTTTATACCCTTTTACTTTTTATTTGGAATGTAAAATCAATACTCTTGAATGCATATATATATATTCAACAAATCAATGATATTGATATTTGTTGTTCCGATTGATATATTCACATTCACTAATCATATGATCATGAAAATAACAGTTGACTTGAAGGTGATCTAAGTAAACTATAGAAATTTACAACAATTACATCAATAGTTACACATCACAATCTTTCAAAGTTTAACATTTTTTGTGTAAGATTCTTTTTACTTAGATGGGATTATCAACTTAATTTCTAACTTCTGGATGAATAAGGCTTAAAATTTAGTTTTTTTTTCGGGGGGGGGACGAGATGAAATGACTACTTTCAATGAGTTACTCTTGATGATTCAGATGTATTCTTCAAAATATATATGCTTTACCTCATGAATTCTCTGTGAAGCGACTGTGAGATCAGGAAATCTTTTAATATGGTCGCATGATTAGATAATGTCAATCATTAATAAACAATTAAGACCATGGTAACTGTAGATTTTAGACAGTATTTTATAGTATATATCACAGTTATCAATTATACGAGACGACTGAACGTGAAAGTAACACTAGTTTAAGTGTTAGATTTATATTCTTGATTAAATGAGTCACTCTATTTGAGTAACTTTCATTTTGATAAAAATAGGTCCATCTGACAAGGTAGGTGGTTAAAATTGTACTTTCCGCCTACTCTAATTATCATGAATTTACTAACTCTCATACTATATATACCCCAACGGTCAATAAGCCCACATAAGATTAACACGTTCTCAATCCGCAAATTAGGATACTAAGAGTCAACACCTCACGTGCTTATCCATCTATAAATTATAAGAATAAAGAAGTATGCCAAAGAAAATTTTAGATCAAACTACATGCATAAATAGGCCATTTTTTATACATGAAACCGGTTAATACATTTAGTAAGTAATTAACTGATAAATTATGTAAAGTAACCTATTTGACAAGCATTAATGAATCAAAGAATAGCTTACTGCAATAGAAGCGGCATAAATGCACTACACATCAAATAAACGTTATACATTATACAAAGTGATCCACTCAAGAATAACTCCACATGTTTTATTACTTCTAGTTCCTCGTCTCATACTAGAATGAAACGTCTGTTCAGTGTTTACAGGTTTTCAATGGTGGTCTAGCTGAGATCATCGACTCATGAATTCAGCTATTAAAATAATAAACTTCTCATTTATTTATTTTATCATACAAACAATCTATTCACTCCTATTTATCATCTTTATATTCATATAAAGTGTTCTAATTAAACATTATTTCACAGGTTGAAATCATGAGTCAATTGAAGCTAGACCACCATGGAAAATCTGGAAGCACTGGACGGCCGTTTCGTCGTAGCATGGGACTTCTCAGCAGTGCGCAACCACGATCCCGCACCACGCGGGGCTCGAACCCAGGACCTACTGGCTTCGCGCGCGAGCACTTAACCATTAGACCACTGAGCCGGCATCCAACGGTGTTAATGTTTAACTTCAACCAATCCACGAAGTTGCGCCACCGAACAACATTGTCTTCAGTGAGTTGATATCTCACAACAGACTTGGTTGAACTCCACTGGTGACGGCTTCTCACTAGAACTCCAGGAGGTTTTCCTGAAGTCGGGATCGTGGATGCACACTGCTGAGGAGTCCCATGTTAGGACGAAACGGCCGTCCAGTACTTCCAGGTTTTCCATGGTGGTCTAGCTTCAATTGACTCATGATTTCAGCCTGTAAACATTATTTGTCTGTTTTTATAAATCTATTCTTTCTTTTTTTTGTTTCAAGTTTTATCGGATAGCAGATTATTTAAAAGAGTTATATTTAGCTGAATCTTGGTTAGAGAATTTATTAATATCTGATATTTTACCAAGTCGTAGTCATTCACCAGTAAGACAACCAACTGATTATCGATCACGTCGAGCACGTCTTGAAAATAATCCAATAATATCGCATAAAATATTAAAGAGAACATGCAGTGAACAACGTTATGATGAAACACAATTAATTGGTGGTTTATGGGATAGACGAGAGATGGATCTTATTCAAAAATTAATTCATCGAGCAATCTCTACAATTGAATTAAAAATATCATCTAGACAAGTAAGTTTTAAATTAAATCATTATTTTCTTTACTTAAGTAAACATTCATTTTTAATATGCGCATGCACAACTCTACATAGGATTAAACTACAAACCTTCTAGTGCTTAACTCTTAGAATCAGTATCCAATACTATTTAACTATTCATTCGTAATTTTGCATATCCGAATAGTATCACAGTCTGATAAATAGGATAGCCGATGGGATTGTAATTGAGTCACTAAGTTATAGTAAATTAATTCAATTACAGATCTTAACAACAATAAAAATGTTTAAAATGCACTGTTAATTATAAAGAGTAGTGTACATTTTACGACCCGTTACACATCATGTGATAAAAGTCACCAATCAGAATACTGACTTCTGTAACCTTGTCTTTGTATTAAACCAATGATACATCAAACAGCGCTAGTAGTCTTGACTCAACTCTGAATCCTCATTGGTCCTTGATACAGTAGTTTCTCGCATAGCTCATTTCATTCAGTCCAAAACGCCAATATCAGACTTTGTTGTATGTAACGTGTATTTAAGACATACTTTATTTATATGCAAACCAACCAGGCCACATTATACCTTAAATAAAAAATAACAATTGTACGAGATCAAGCCAAAAAATATGGCTGTGATTGTGAGAGACTGTAATTAATAAACTAGGTATAACTTAAGAATAATAAGTCGTATAACAGTAGTCAGTAGGTCAAATGAAAACTTATAATATATATATATATATAATCTAATTACTTAATAGTTATACAATAAGAATACATATAATAACAGTCTATAAATAGATCCTAGCAGTTGCCGTTCGTTTATTCTTCGTTCAGATATAACAACTGTATTGTACGATTTATTCATTTGTTTATTGTAAAGAATCTGAGTACAATTTTGTTACATTATAAAAGTAGATTAAATGGCTAGACTATGATTTATGAACGAACCAATCAGGTATGAGATAACAGATTTCGAATTTTGGCATGAAATTCACTCATCCATTTGGTTAAATAGAGTTTTGGCATTATAGATGATGTTAGTTCGTGATGAAAACCCTAAATCTAATTCCTAACCTTAACCATTAACTGTAAATCATAATTCTAATTCCTCACATTGATTTATAAACCTCTTTTGATCCTAGTTATTAGGCGGATACTTTCAAGGTCACTTTAGCGTTACTCGAAGGTCATCCATAAATTATAGTCTCATCGATTAAATAATGGAAAAGAATATTTAGTATAAGAATTAGATAATCAGAACTGACAACGTTATTTTTCAGTTAATAATAAACCTTGGGAAACCAGCAAACTATCGGGGGGACCCAGAAAAAGTGTTCAAAGGAGCTCTGAAAACTATGAGAAATATTTTATTTAATTACCATTTAATCGAACTTTCTTAGAAACATCTAGGAAGTGAAGAGTTACGTGTCACATTTCTGATTTGATAATTAACTCTCCTACTACCATTTTAAGAAGGATTCCAGAACGTTCTAGAAGTCCAAGGCCGTCTATAGTGCTGTAAATGCTTTCGTTTTTCTGTACATAAACGAACATTGAAGTAAAGATCTCTTTTTATATATTTCGCTCCTTTTTCCTCTTGTTCAATTTTGTTTGGGGTTATTAGGAGAGCTTAGGAAACTGATTCAAGTGTTCAATCAACAGGTTGATCATAAACTTTCTAGAATCATTGAATTCTAACTAATGTTTCTTAGTTCTATCACAAAACACATCCGATGTATGGGAACTTCCTACTGACTGACTTGGAAAAAAAGCTTTGAAATCACATAGTTATCCTAATATAATTGTTTAGTTTCTTTCCAATCTTATAACGTTTATCTTTATTGACGTCAAAGATATGTAAAAACAAAGATGTTTTATTTCTATTATTCAATTTATACAGATAGACGAAAAGGAATCGTCATATTCAGCAACAACACCTACTACAACAACACTGAGTGCTATAATTTTTAGAAATGCTTCAACTGAAAGAAAGTAAGAGTTTATATTTTCTGATAGATTTTCTGGTGTTTTGATGGTTCACTATTTTTGATTAATTGATGACAATGATGATGATGTCAACGATGTCATTCTCTTTTGTTCTTTCCAACTCTAATGCATACATCGAACTATGTAAGTTAAGTAGGTGTCATTACCAAGGTTTGATTTGATAATTTCGAATAAATTGAGCATTGGGTTCATTGTTATAAATAAAAATAATATATTTGTAATATCCCAATGAGTAGAAAATTGGATTTTCTGACGTTTCGTGACTTAGTGTAAGTCACTTCTTCAGAGAACAAATAACCAAATTAAAATTAATCCAAGTTAAGTGTAAGTTAAGTGTAATCTAGATACATGCATTTGCGATTTATACAAGTAATTGATTTGTAGTTTGGTCGTCATCAGCTGTGAAATTCGTTGGTACTATTGAAAAAAATAAATAACTATATATAACAGTAGATATACTGAAAGAATAAGGGGTGAACTTGAGTGGTTCTTTAAATGACCGGGAGAAATGTATGGCTATGAGTTAACAAGGAAGAAGTATAAATTACGACTGAATAAGTTATAATGCATAACATTAGGATACAGAGTTTAACAAACAGAATCAAATTTACAGTTTAACAGTTTGGATTATGATTTGGATAATGTTTTACAGTTGGGGTCTAGTAGTGTCTTCAAACGTTATCCCTAACTCTAACGCTTTTCGGAAGTTTTAGTTCTAAACCTGAAATTTCAATCATTAGCATCAAAGATGGATGGTGTCTAGCAATGGGATTGAGGAATCGCGTTTCTTCCTGAGTTAGACTCGTCAGTTGGATGTACCTGGATCCCAAAGTTGATGTTCACTCCAGAAGTCGAACCAGCTGACGAGTCCCAAATAGGATGATTCCACTGATAACCACTATCCATCTTTACTTATAATGCTTGAGACTTAATCCAATATCAAGGCATTCCGTACAGTATGCACATATGCTAATAAGAGATTGATTAATTGCAGTCGCAAATATAAATGGTAAGATTCAAATAAACAATACAAAGTGAATTTACAATTAACTTGAGTATCTGAGATGATTTTCACTGCCGAAAATAAATAATATATATTCGACAGACTACGTTCTATTTCGACTTGTAATGAATCTGACTTATTTCTGAATGGTTGTTCATTGTTTCAATCTAAAGGTTTATTGAACAAGCTAATAGAATTGAAATAAATAAAAATCTGTAATTTAGTCTGACAAAGTTACACATGGAGTGGGGTTGTGGAGAAATAAACATTCACGAATTTCTACTACTTTGTATGATGAACTCATTTGTATATACATATGTTATACAGAAATCATTTAGATTTCTATGAATGTCTTTTATTATGTAAATGGTAGGAAGTCACATTCTCATAAGTTTTCAGTTGTCTAAGGAGTTCTGTTTGCGTTGAAAATCTTACACCAATGAATATCTCTTGGCAAATCATATTAGTTCCCCGTTGACATGAGCTGATATTGCCAAACCAAATTAGGTACTCTAATGGGTCCGATAATAATCATTTTGTTGGCCGGATAAAACGAGTTTTTCTTGTTGATAGGTTACTGGTGAATGGCGGATGGTGTAGGGGGAGGAAGTTGGAAGTATTAACACTAATTTCATAGCCTTATGTTGGGATGGCTTCGAAAGCATGACGAAGCCTCTAGAGCCTCTAAAAAACCGAGAAGATCCCATCCACTCACAGCCTGACATGGCGTTGTGGAATATTTATGTAGCATGCTACGACTGGACAATAGCATAACTCGTCTCCTTGCAGATTAACTGATGTTATAACCAATGCTAATGACCATAAATACTCACATTTATGAATCCTACCTAATAATCACTTCCCTGCTTTTTCCATCTTCTGTTTTGTTACTGTGGGTTTCTATATGTTCGAGCGCCGTTAGTTGTATATTGTATTCTACCATAATCAAGTAGAGAAAGTAACATCTTTAAAAAATTCCCTTTCAAAATAGTTTACTCTGCAATTTCAATTCATAAAGCAGTATACTTTAGTAAACTTTACATTTAATGTATACTTACATTCATTTGTATATTTAATGATTATGATAACCAGTCTTATTAAGTCAACATAATTTCTAATAAATTTATCAGGCTTTGATTACTTACTTACTTAGGCCTGTTACTCCCAATGGAGCATTGGCCACCGACCACCATTCTCCAACCCACTTTGTCCTGGGCCTTCATTTCCAGTTCCATCGAATTATTGCTCATTCTTCTCATATCTGTCTCCATTTCTCGGCGTAATGTGTTATTTAGACTTCCTCTTCTTCTTTGGTTTTGAGGATTCCAAGTAAGGGATTTCCTTGTGATGCAGTTGGGTGCTTTCCCCAATGTGTGTTCTATCCAATTCCAGTGCTTCTTCCTGATTCCTTCCTCCACTGAGATCTGCTTTGTTCTCTCCCACAATAGGTTGTTGCTGATAGTGTTTGGTCAACGGATCCGAATTATTTTGTGTAGGCAGCTGTTAATAAACACTTGTACCTTCTGGATGATGGCTTTAGTGGTTCTCCAAGTTTCCGTTCCATACAGTAGAACTGTTTTGACATATGTATCAAAAATTCTGACTTGAATGTTGGTTGACAGTTGTTTTGAGTCCCAGATTTTCTTCAATCTTAGATATGTTGCTCTTGCTTTGCCGGTCCGCGTCTTCTCTCGTGACTTATGAAGGAGCTCGGCTTTCACTACCAAGAGTCTTAAATCATCTAAATGAAAACCTTCTAACTCTCAGGGCAGAGTTTAAGTGGTTCGAATTTTTTTTCTCTTCAGCGTTTGTTAAAAGGTTAGTTTTCTACCGAATGTGGTCGCTAACCCCATGCCCAACCCTCCTCCTTCGTCCGAGCTTAGGACCTGCAGTAGCCGCAGAGGGGCTCCAGGTGGATTTAGGCTTTGATTACAACTCTAGTATGAATTGTTTAGGATAAACCGTTGAAACTCAATGATGTAATAAATAAATAATGGTACTTTAGTGTTTTGATTGATTTGTTCCAAGTTCGAAACTTAATACACACAAAAAAACAATTAGACATGAATACAACATTGAACTATTGAATCTGTTACTTAGGTGAGATAATTATTTTTGAAATTTCTGATTTGTTTCCAACATCAAGATTAACTGAATTCCTTTATTAAATCGTCAATATTGTTCAAAACTTAGTAGTGGATAGTATATTGTTTATATATATATATATATATATATATATATATATATATATATATATATATATATATATATATATATATATATATATATATATATATATATATATATATATATATATATATATATATATGTATTTCACTAGACTAGTACCATGCAGAAGAAAGTCAATATTGACTTTTATAGAAGCTAATCAAAACAGGTAAGAGGATATTATCATAATAAAAATATATACTCTTCATACTAATAATGCTACTAATATCGAAATTGAACGACCGTTTAGAAACAAGACAAAACATGGACTTGTGACTTTCATGTTGAGGAGATCCAGAGAACTCCTTGAAAAATGCCAACAAAGGTTCTGAAAACATTGAGAAGCATCTTATCCAATCAGCGTTCACTTGAAGTTTTGCCAGGAACATCTAGAAAGTGAAAAGTCACACGTCGAGTTTCTGATTGGATGATTATTTCTACTGCTAACATGTTTAGTATCATTCCAGAATTTTCCGAAAACCCAAGGACATCTAGGATACTATAAAAACCCTGGATTTTCTGTACGTAAACAAACCTCTCGCACCTTTTCTCTCGTGTTCAAGTTGCAGTGTAGGTCTAGCCTAGTGGTTGCTACAAGAGCTTAAAAATCGAATCTAGAGTCCAATCATTTTATACGTTCCTTGCTGTCGGCACACAGGATAGATCATATGTGAATTTATAGTCAAAATTTAGTAACAACTAAACGTTTATTGGGTTTTTTTCTTCAGAATTTATGAAGTTATTATCAAAGTTCACTCTCTTTCTCTCTCGCTCTATCTTTCTCTAAATTCACTATTCAATAAAGAAAAAGTTATTCATATGAGTGTGTATGTAAATCATTATTAGTTTGTATCGTTTATGCAGTAATAAATTAGATTTCAAAAACGTTACAATCCTTGAATTTCCATATTATATATGTGTGTGTGCTTTTCGACTTTCCAAACGATCGGAATAAACCATTTTACTGTATTAGTACCAATTATCTCTGTGCATATCATTTACAATATGATTTATTTACGAGTTAAGTAAATAAGGACTTGACACGCATGACATTGATCACCACCCAGTGATCAATCAATTGTGATTACATCTCAGTCCTACAGGAGGTCAGTCGCGGCCCGGATAGCTCAGTGGTAACGTCTCTGACTGTGAAGCTGGGTGACACGGGACTGAATCCGCCAGGGAGCACCAGTTCCTTCAAGATTACAGGTAGGCCTTGCTGACGAATGCCAAGTAGCACGAAACCCGGGCCCAAGGTTTCCTGTAGACTACCTCCAACCACCATCTACAGAGTTAAGTAAAAATATATTCCCTATAGTACTTAGCAATGTATAATGTCAACAAAATTTACATCAGAAAAACTAGTTAGTTTTGTGTAATTATATAAACAACGTAAAACCTGACACATTAATTCATCAGTCCAAATTCCTACACTAAATTTAAATGACGAGATCGGACTATCAAGATGGATCATAAAGTGACCGAATTAGTGTTGTTATTAGCAATATAAATGGTAATAGGAAAGATTAAGGATTGACGACATGATTTGGGAAGAAAGAATGAATTCATTAGGTAAAAATTATCAAATAACCTTAAGACCTGTGATTTAAGTGATGACAAAGAGTATGAATGCGTTTCTAGAGTTGTAACTGATCTTGAGCGACGTGATCCAACGTTTCCAACTACTAGTCATGAAAATTGAACATATCCCAACCTGTGTCTACCACTACTGTGTTCGCTGATGTTTATAATAAAGCTATGAACGGCTAATCCAGCAACATTGGCCAAGGAGGTAGGTTCAAACTAACTGGTTGGCATATAGTTGATTTTTATGACCAATGGTTGGAAATGCCGGATGACATGACTCAGAATCAAATGCGACTCCATAATTGTATTCCCACTATTCGTCTTGACTTAGATCATGAATTTTATGATCATCTGATAATTTTTATTGGATGTATTCATTCATTCTTCTCTAATCATACTGTCTATATGTGAAGTTTTCTTATATCACCCTGGAGTTTGACGATAGTGTGACAACTTCGACTGATGTATATAGTTATCAGGTTCTATGATACAAATGACTGACTGGCTGGCTGATTGATCTACTGACTGATTGATTGATCATGAGGGAAACGATCAACATATTTAAAAACCAAACAAAATGTTTCCGCGAATTTTCTCACGAAGCTAGTCACTAGTGAGCATATGGTAATTCTCGAAGTTTTGGTGAAAAGCCGTGACCAGTGAAGCTAATCCGTGTCGGGTAGAAACAAGTGTCTACCTCAGTACAATGGAAGATGGTTGCGCAACTTCGTGGATTGGGTGAGGTTAGACATTAACACCATTGTATGTCGGCTCAGTGGTCCAGTAGGTTAAGCGTTCGCGCGCGAGACTGAAGGCCCCGGGTTCGAATCTCGCAGGGTGCGGGATCGTGGATGCGCACTGCTGAGGAGTTTCACGATTGAACGAAACGTTCATCCAGTGCTTACAGGTTTTCAATTGTGGTCTAACATCAATCAGTTCATGATCTCAATCAAAACTTAACAATCTCCACGACCCCTATACTGGTATTAATTTTTCATTGAAATTATGAACCAACCAGTGTTAGACCAACATTGAAAACCTGGAAGCACTGGACGACTGTTTCATTCAAGTGTGGGACTCAGCAGTGCTCACCCACGATCTCGAGTATGAGGCAGTTACTCACCGAAGACATAGGGAGATGGTCGTGCAATATCGTGGATTATTTGAACTTAGACATTACCACCGTTAGATTACGGCTTAGTGATATAAAGGTTAGGGGTTCGCGTGCGATACAGAAGACCCTGAGTTCAAGTCCCTCATGCAAGATTGTGGATAAGCACTTCTAGGGAGTCTCATACTAGGACGAAGTAGCCCTACAGTACTTCGAGGTTTTCAGTGGTGGCTTAACACTTATTAGTTAATGATTTCAATAAAAACTCAACCATCTTCATAACCCCATATTAATATTTATTAATTTGTTTGTATGTTGATGCTGTTATTTTGTTTAATTTTGCACAGAATTCCCATCTCTTTACGTTCATTTATTCCGGATTGTGAGAAAATCACAGGGAACAATGAAAATACTATTAAATGGAAAAAGATTTACGCTGAAGAAATTGTAAATATTGTTAAAGTAAGTCAAGAAAATCTTTACATGTTGATATTCTTGTTTATTCATTTTCAGTGTACTAGATCATTATTTCCTATAAATTACTTACTTACGCCTGTTACTCCTTGTGGAGGAGCATATGCCGCCCACCAGAACTCTCCATCCAACACTATCCTGGGCAATCCTTTCCAACTCTTTTCAGTTGTTATTCATCCTTTTCATATCGGCTTCTATTTACCGACTTAATGTGTTCTCTGGCTTTCCTCCTCTCCGTTTCTCTTCAGTGTTCCAGGTTAGAGCTTGCCTCTTGATGCGTTTTGGTGATTTCCCTAATATATGTCCTATCCATTTCCATCATCTCTTCCTAATTTCCTCTTCAGCTGGGAGCTGGACTGTTCTCCCCCACAAAATGGTGTTGCTGATGGTAACCGGCTAGTGGATGTTCAGTATCTTATGTAGACAACTATTTATAAATACTTGTATCTTCTTGATGATGGTTGTAGTAGTTCTCCAAGTTTCAGCTTCGTACAGTAGAACTCACTGTCTTGATGTTCGTATCGAGGATTCTGACTATAAATTAATTCAATGAAAATATCTAAACCTACTAAGAAGATCTTAAATTATCAAATCTTTTTATCAATAAATGAAGTCGTTTTGATCTTAGGGTTTCTATTTATTGCTAAGTAAAGCATAATTTGTTCTGTAGTAATAATAATGTTAAGCTTTTTGACTTGTGTAAAATGCTAAACAATTTCTACTTTAAATTGTGACTTCTTTCCTTCTCTCCTCTCTTACATCATCACTTGATCAATTGTCGGTGAGGTATTGTATACTAGTTGAATTCGATCAACACTTCAAGATTTATACAAATATGATACTGGTTACTAACTATTCAGTAATCAATTACACCTCAATAGTTTGTCTATACTTATGAATTCTTCTTTAATCCACTTTATATTCCTTGTTCAACTAAATACTTATGCTACTATTTATCCAGATGATGACAAATAAATAAATAAATAAGTAAACAAACTATTATTGTGTTCCCATTGATTACTCATCTGTTCCGCTTACTAATAAAACTGTAATACTATTTCACTGAATTATTAAGACTGCGATTGATCAGTCTCTCTTATTGGCATATGTGCGGATCGCCTCGATAGTGCCACTAAATCACAAGCATTCTATTTTCTGTTTAGAATTCATCAGTCGAATATATCTGCATTCCAACGGTAGTGAGTAGGAGTTCCTCAGTAAACATCAACTCTGAGATGCAGACACATCCATCTGAAGAGTCTCAAATAAGAAGAAACGCACGTTCTAGATACCACCGCTAGCTACCATCCATTTCGTCTTATAACTGATTATTTTAAATGCAAAGAAATGTCTTCAGTAACAAATTCACTATGAAATATTTGAAACTCTTGAATTCAATCCTTATTATGATCGTAATCAAGCTTTGTATAACTAATTATTTTCTCTAGTTCTGTTAATGTTCTAACTGCTTGATCATTCATTAGAAACATAGGCAATTATAAACGAAGAATTTAATTGATAGAATCTAGCTCAAGATTATTCGAAACATTTCCAATTTTTCTATAAGTATATGGTATTCAACACTTCCGCTTATTTCTCTATTCATTTAATGCATAAGTACTACGTATTAGAGCATCATGTTCATTAAATATTTCATTTCAATCATTTGAAAGTTATTTGTGTTATATCGTGTGATGCTAATCGATATCATGTGTTAAAGTTACTAGTTAGAATTCCTATTATCATTATTTCTACGCTTAATCTACTATCTCTTCTGTAGACTAATGTTCTGAACTTGATCAATTATACGTCTTACCCACATTGTTAACTTTGAGTCGATGTAATCTAATCTCCTATTGGTTTACTTTCAACAAGCTTTTCTCTATCCTCTGCTTTAAATTCAAAGAAAAGTCAGATACCAGGTTCGATTATAATAAATTTTTAAGTATACGTGGGTTTATACTAAAAAGATACTGGACTACATTACATGATGAATTGAAAAATCTTAACTATGCATGTACAAGTCAAAAGTCGCTTTGAATAGTGCTATGTTCAAGGGATTAAGTTATCACCTAGGACCGGCGAACGGAACGAAAGTCAGAAACACAACAACAAGATAAAATCAGATATTCCTCTTCGCCTCAGACCTGATAATTGGTGGGAAAAGACCAAACTCAGCTGGGAAAATATATAGTTCAATAAACAATCTACGAGAGAGAATGACATGCACAAAACTCATGTATATATAAACAATATAAAAATATCCTGGAAAAACACTACAGAATACAGTACTAAGAGAGAAAACTGACCAATGACGTTTAAGGTTCTTCGAGCCGGAAAACACAAACTGAAGGTAAAAATGGGCATTTTGGGGCGAAAATGAAGAATTCGAATTTTCATAATTAAATTACAAAAACGAGAAGTTTATCAAGTGACTTCCGGGGATCTAACATCCCCAGCAAATAGGATAAGCTGTAAATAATTGATTACCAATCAATAAGGAATAATAAACAGTGTAATTATGATTACTACCTTTCATGAGTTATCGTTTCTTTAATCTTCGCCTTGTATCATCAATTCTCAACTGTTTACTACGAATAATTGAGCTTGAACACTAACTGTTGTGACTTTTAGCCCGGCTAATTATCACGTGAATTATCACACCAATCGGAATACCAGTTTTACAATTTTAATACTGTGCTACAACTATGGCGTATTGACCAGTATGAGCAACCTAGCGTCCTCATTGATCCTTTTTCCTGCCCAACCCTGCCTGTTGAGTTCAGAATTCCAAAAACAGCGTCCACTATGCGAATCATTTATTTCAAACACACTTGGTTTATATACCAACCAAACAGACCTCATCATACCATAAATAGAAAATAACAATTATATGAGATCAAGACAAAAAAAGTGGCTGTGAACATGGGAGACCGTAATCAATAAACTGAACATAACTTAAGAACAGTAAATCGCATAATAATGATCTATAGGTCAAGAGGAAGCTTATAATAAGAGGAATGTAGATATAAATAATCTGGTTACTGAATAGTTATACAATAAGAATATATGTATCATATTAGTCCATTAATAGTTGTCAGAAGTTACCTATAATTTAATCTTCACTAGGATATAACACTAATTAAATTCATTGTTCGTATCTTTTTCACACTTTTTATCAGTTAAAATAAAGCGAAGACCATATTATAGTGAAATATATATCAAGTGAAAAAAACACTATAGTTAGTATGTAATTAATGGGTAAAAGATGGTTTCCTCATTGTAACAATTCAACTTTTTTACTTCTGGTATTATTCTGTCTTAAGATGGTTTTCGGTAATGGTACAGTTGAGGTCATCGTCTCTCGGTGTTTCGGAATGGCGCGAACCAACTGATACAGTTGAACGGTTGTTCTTTTACAAAATCGAATCTATACAAACTAGATAGACTAAAAGTTTAATATATACAGCACTTTGATAATAATCAATCACTTCTTATTGGATTGAAGGCTAGAAGCTTGAGAAGAAACTTACGACTCAAAACATTCGTAATTGCAATATAATGAGTTTCTTTATGTAACAATAAACATGAATGTTTGACAAGAAATTTAACAAGCTAAAAGGATAAACAACCAATCCGTTAACAGTAAAGGTCAGGGAGGGGTTATGAGTTGAAAAGGTGTTATTGAGGACTTCCTTGTACATCAAATCTACCACTGGTCAACAAAAACAATCAAATGAGATAACTTGAGATCTTCTTAGCAGTTAATGATGAATCAAGTCAAACAAATAAATAAACTCTGCTAAATCTTATTTCACTCCTAATCTGTCTCATATTTGAAGCAGTATTATTTTTTGAAATATTGTAGAACACTGTGCTGAGTACTTAAAGCTTCAAATTGTCTCTCAGTTGGTAAATGTGAAAACAACAGATTTCAATTTATGGAAGTTTTAGGCTGGGATCAGAAGTTTGACTTTATGATGAATGTACTAAATAAATTGAGTCCCTTCAACTTAGAAAGATATATACCGATATGTATTTATGCATAGCCAAATTTTCTCAGATTATATTAATAGGTCGTAGATTTGCAAATACATAATATTCCCAAACTTAGTGAATAGTACTCTTAAGTCATCTTCAAAAGTATAATAATAACCAAGTGCACTACACTGATAACAATCTTCAGAGGTTCTAGAGATAACCCTGAAAAGATAACATCAATTTCAGCCATTCAGAATGCAAATGATATAAATGAGTAATTTCTTGCATGACTTAGGGTCTGTGTATAATGATGTATTGGTTAGAATTAATGATTAGGAATAGAGCGAGAAAATGATTTGTACAAATGACTACTTATATAGTTATTTGTTTCGTTTTAAATATCAAAGAAAAATAAACGAAAAAAAGTATGGGAAGAGTTTGGGAAATAACAAACAGTCTTTTGTTAAAGTTAATTCGGCTAAGGAATAGATAAATGTGTTACAAATTTCTTATGAATACAAAGACTTGAATCGTTAGCTTGGATCCCTATGGCTTACAATGTGTATGGTAGACGAGGTCGAATCCTATGATCAAAACCAGTGGTAATGCGATAAATCAATTTTAAATGACCTATTTCTGTCTACTACATGACCGCTATCGACGAAGTGTGATAAAACAGAGCTTTGTATTGTTTTGACTATTACCCTTTCCCAAACATTAAGAGGTGTTCACTAACTCGTTAGCTCAGTTGTCCGGTTTTACGTTCAATATTCGGTCATGATTGGTTTACTATGTGTTAATGTATGCATATAAATATTGCTGTATACTAAAATATATTAGAATGGCGGAAATCACCAAACTGCATCACGAGGCAAGCCCGAACTTGAAATCCTGAAGGCATAAGGAAGAAAGGAAGACCAAGCAGAAGTCAAAAAATTGAATAGCAACTGAAAACAACAGGAAAGGATTGCCCAGGACAGAGTTAATCGGCGAATCCTAATAAGCGGCCTACACTCCTCCACGAGGGGTATATTAGAATAAAGCCTGATGAAGATCTAATTGAATACAATATTGTTCGCTTATATATGTTACTCTAAAATACAAGTTGCCATTGTATTTTAATGTAATAGCCTCTGTTTTAAATATGTTTGCTCCATCAGTAAATTAAACTTACCATAATGGTTATTGAAGTTGAAGGTTTTGAGTTGGTGGAGAAGATTTATAGCTCAGGTGGATGATTTTGATGGAGTCTTGTTCTCTGAGCTGGATGGTTTGGTTGTGGAGCTTTCATCGTTCTTCTGAACGACATCATCAGCACAAGCTTCAGATAGAAGTGAAGTATTCGAATTTCTCCATATGCGTTTCACAGCTTATCCTGTACACCACGATGTTGATTGGTTCTTAATGACCTTAAATTTGTCATTGTTTACTTTGTTTTGGTTGTGTCTCCCATCGGTTGATTTTTGTTCCTATACTTGTGCATAATTATCCTGATTGGTTCATAAATTGAATCGATTTCAATGTTCTTCTTGATTGCTGATTGACCTGAGTGCCAGACTTCTAAAAATTCTCTGGTGTTTTTGGAATTTCCCCCGTCCAAGATTCACACATTTTTCCAATCGGATGAGTGTCCGCAGTTGTCCACGTGTATTGATGTAAGTGAGGAGATATCATGGCGTTTGACTGCTAATTGATGTTCATGTAGGCGAAGGTCAAGGGGGCATCCGCTTTGTCCGATGTAGTGTTTTTCACAGTTGGCACAACTGAAGTTTGTGCCGGTGGTGTCGTTCAGAAGAACGATGAAAGTTCCACAACTAAACCGTCCAGCTCAGAGAACAAAACTCCATCAGAAGTTGAAGGTTATTTCCAGGCAGTCGGTTGGAAGCTATAAATTTAGGTTTCATACTAGCTGGCAGTGGTCAGTAATGCGTATCCATAATCAAGGAAAAACTGCTTTTCTCAGTCAAATTCATCACTCAATTTGTCAGTCACAGTCAAAGACGTATTGCCAATAATCTACTCGTACTGCAAATAACATTCCGTTGGGATTGAAATGTTGAGTTAAATGTTAGAAATTCTTAATTGGTCCATCGATTTTCGTCTATTTCAGCTTCCTCGTTATCCTGTTGAACAACATTTAAATTTAGAAACTATACATCAATCACAAAAATCTACCATTTTTCTTTGTTCTGATCATCTTGTCTTAACACAATGGCCATTAGATCAACAATCATTTGTATGTAATGGAGATTTGGCGCATATTATTCCATTCTATGAATTATGGTGTGATACCATGAAACTTGATGAATTATTATGCATACGATCATCATCAATATATGTGTCAAAATCATTAAAACATCATAATAAATTCAATTCTAATAAAAAAAATTCCGAAATTGACAATGATCATTTAAGTAAATATAATATCTCTTCATCATCCGGTATATTAGAAGAATATGCTGATCTATTGAATAGTCCTACTTTCAATGAACAATGTAATCAGTTAATTAATGATACAGAGATAATAAAAACATCAAAATCTTCTTATTCATCAAATGATAATCATACATTTAATAATACTGATATGTTATTATTAATTGGGCATCCACCAATGGAAAATTGGGCAATCCGTTTTTCAAATAATAATCTTTGTGAAAAATGGCGACATATGATCAATGAGTAAGTTGATTTAATTGTTTTGCTCATTTTTATTTTTATTTTTCGATTTATATATTAATCCTTTAACAGTTGAATTTACGATTCGATCTCAACTAGACCATCATTGTCAACCTAGAAACATTGGGCGGTCGTATCGCCTTTGTTTGGGACTCCTCAGCAGTGTGCATCCACGATCCCTAACCAAAGGAACTCCGACCCAGGGCCTTCGATTTCACACGCGAACTTTTACCTCTAGACCACTGAGTCAGTATCAAACGATGTTAATGCCTAACTTTAATCTATTCATGATCTTGCGCAACCCTTCATCCATTATCTGAGGAAGATAACTGTCTTGTACCGGATACGGATTAAAATCCACTGGTCACGGTTTCTCAATACAACCCCAGTAAATCCATCTTGGAGCTAGTCACTAGTGAGTACTACTGAGGTGTCCTATTTTAGAAACGACCGTCCAGTGCTTCTAGGTTTTCACTGGTGGTCTAGCTTAGATCGACTAATGAATTTAATTGTTAAAATACTACGGTTTCCTCACACACCTTACTGATTATATATTTGTGTTCAGTAGAAGTTGGTAGGTAATTAAATGGGTAGTTTAAGTTGCAGTTTATCAGACTGATTATCAAAATGAGGTCAGTTAGACACGACGAAATATCTATAGCGATGCCAAAATATCAGTGTGGAATGTGAAAGAATCATAGATCTTTTACTTTCGGAAAAATTAAAGTTGATTGCTTAATATACACAGAACAGATTAAATGCCAACTATAAGTCTTATTTTAGAATTCAATCTATAAAATACAAATGAACACGTTTGATCAGTGAAAATAATTATTTTATTTGAAGGAGTTTTGCGTTCAATCTGTTCAATTTGTAAGTTGTATTTGTCATAGAATACTCTCAGTTAGAGCACAGGACAGCTGTTTCATCTAAGTATAGGACTCTATAGGAATGCATACAAGTACGACTAAACCACAAATTGAAAACAAGACCATGAGGTTACGCAGAGAACACTTGTATCGGTGTATCGGTACTCATCCTCCATAAAATATGAATTAAACATTATAATAAAAACAGTCTTATGAAAATCTCGATGGAAGGTTGTTCAGGAAAATTAGACTGTAACAAAGGATATGAACAATCTTTCTTATGAGTACACAAATTTAAACAAAGCATTTATACATAAGTTAAACTGTTGATTTAAGCTGTGCTGGTAGGTGCGGACTACTAGATTGAGGTCCTCGCGATTATTGAATCTTATAGTTAAAGATACTTAGTGACATGACTAAGGATGAATCACAATAACCTGAATCTATTCACTCTTTGCCCGCTCCTAGATTTTTAGTTTTAAAATTATCTTGAATGATATCTTCTGTGTCTAATCTTTTCTACCATCAATAATACTGTTATTACTCCTACGATTCTGGTATATGTCTTGTTAATTTGACCTCGCTGTATTGGTGTATTGTGGGAAATCGGATCGGTACACATATGGGGCAGGTATTACGTTGTTTGTGACTGACCTGCGGATATATGTGAGATGGTTAAAGATAATCGATAGGGAACCCTGGTACTATGTTTTGTACTATTGGTGAAATAAATCTTCAATCTTGAAATAAATCATCCATTCTCTTTATGGTTGGAATATCCATAACTGTCTAACGAGTGTTAAAGAGCATAAAATTGTGATTCATAACTTAGAAAAATTCCCTCAAACCAAATAACATCAAAATATAGTGTACGCATTGTCTAGTTACTTAGACTATTAACAACACTTCAACTTGATTTACAAAATTCGATCAACACTTTAAAGATTTGAGACGAACATGACATTTATATTATTATCAATTGATCAGTTAGTATGATTTACATAAATGTAGGTGTAATTTGTAGTCAGATTTTTACTCAAAATATTTATTTATTTAAACATATAAACATTGGTACAAGGAGGCACCAAGTAGATATGCGCCACATAAATCATCCGATTTGTGTGAGGGCTGTGATACTACCCGGGTACTCAAACTGAAGCAGGTGGTTTTCTTAGTATCCACACCCCGATCCTTTGACCTAAAAGGTCTAACCCATAAGGCAATGGAGAATCGTAAGGAGATGTAGTCCCATGGTAGCTGGTGATCAAAAATTGGTTCATACGCCATTTGTTGCCGCAAGATACTGGAGCCCATGTGCACCGTTGGTTTGGAATCCGGTTAAAGCGCTGGACATTCGCTTTTCGTCCTCTCAATTTCGTAAACGAAACTCCCACCACGAGAAGGCAGTGAGTAGGACTTCCCTGGTAGAGGCTGTATACGCGTGGCCATGTGATAGCATTTCGAGAGGGAGGGCGGACCCACGCCAATCTCGGCCATACCAGGGCATTTGGGGGCACTCAAAATATTATTCTGTCACTGAATCACATGACCTCCTCCTTCTTCTTTTCATACGATCTACACGTATAAATCATAACAAAAAATAACATCTATTACTTTACTAATTTAGATCTATTCGAAAAAGTCAACAAATATTCTATGGGAAATCGATCAATGTGAAGGTGATCAATCAGATAATTCCAAATCATCAAGTAAGTTCACCTACTTTGATCAATAAATCGTTTGTGACAAAAGTAATTTTTAGTGGTTATATTTATACTACTAATAATAGTAATCAAATTTTCACTAATGACTGATTTCTAAAGGTCATTTCGTGTTGTTTTATTAAGAAGCAGTGATCTATAGAGTTCAACCATGTCGCATGTGAGATAGTTATCTATCAGTCATGATGCCGTCGGAAGATACTTACACAATGTCATAAACTGATTGAAGTTAGAAATGTAATCTTAGGCGTAGACACAGCAGTTTAGGGATTAAGAACTTACTGCGATGAAACCTGAAGGTAGTGAGTTCAATCTCTTGGGAGAATGGGGGTCATAGGTTCAAGTGACTAAGGAATTCCATGATAAGACCGAAGTAAATATTCAGTGCTTTTTAATTTTTAATGATTATTTTTTCGTAATGTAATTGTTAAAGATTCTACATTAGACATATTTGAAAGCAAGATTTAACCGATCAATGTTTGACCACCATTAAAAACCTTGAAGCATTAAAAGGCCGTTTTGTCCTAGCATGGGACTCCTCAACAGTGCTCATCCACTACCCCACATAAGGGAATCAAAACCAAAACCATAGGTTTGATGTGCGAACATTTAACGCTTGAGTTATATAACCATTTACTGAAAAAGTACGAATAAACAAACAGCTGAAAATGTAACTAATGTGTTACCGACAAGACGAATGAAAAGAATAAATATATTAACATTTTGACCTTAAAATGAAATCTTTAATAAGGATTACAGGCTGAAATCCAACATTCACCCAATAAATGAACGCAAAAATGGCGAGAAGTGTAAGAGACCACACGTTTATTAAACATTGACAAGATATATAACCTTAGCCTTGTCAAAACACTTGCATATTCACTTCGTATTCTTAACTTAACTGTGAGACAAATGAATAAAGTCAATGTATTATTGTCATATTTACATTGAAAGACTGTAATACCATCTGTATTATATCTTGTGAATCCAATGACTGAAACCATGTGACAAATGATGAATTAGCATCTCCGATTCTCAGGATTCTTAAGCTTGTGTATATACAATCTTGATAATATAGCCTTTTTTTATTTTACAATTTATGTTTTCTATCATATGATTATTACTATTCTATTTTATCATGATAACATGTTGTTATGTGTATATGAGTCAAAATAATGTTTACAATTTATTCAAAATGTATACTGTTATTTTCCAAGACTTCATTTTCAATAGATTATTACATAAATGAATTATTACGTATGAATACTTGAAAATAAATAATTCACATGACAACTAATAATTGTATTAATTTGAAGGGAATTAATTCAATTCATTAGTCATTGTTGATTTATAATTATCATTAGTAAGAATTTGAATTATCCAATTGTTGATAAGTTCGGTTGAATGTTGACCGATTTTTGTTGGGTTATGTGATACATGTATGAATTATCTGGATTATAACAATAAGTTGTTTAGTACAAATTGATTCTTATTAGCAGTTAATGTCTATTTGAACTTAATTAGTTTGTTTGGATGAATAATGAATTGGTGTTCGTACTAAAAGGTACTAGATTCGAGTTCTGATATGATCATAAACATCAGTTTATAGGTGTATTCAATGGATAGGTTGTGAATAAGATGAAATGCGCTTCTTGGATTACACTGTATACCACAATTCATCTATTCTAAATTATTTCCTCCACTTAAGTTGTTATTATTATTGATGGCTTTATTCAATATTATTTTTTGGTACAATATAGAATCATTAGAAGGGGTTTGTGGAGATTTTAGAAATCTTCACAGATTGAAATCATGAGTCAGTTGAAGCTGTTACCAGTGGAGTTCAACCAGGTCTATTGTGAGATATCAGCTCACTGAAGACAATGGCATACGGTGGCGCAACTTCGTGGATTGGTTGAAATTAGACATTAACACCATTGGATGCGGGCTCAGTGGTTTAATGGTTAAGTGCTCGCGCGCGAAGCCAGTAGGTCCTGGGTTCGAATCCCGCGGGGTGCGGGACTGTGGATGCGCACTGCTGGAGAGTCCCATACTAGGACGAAACGGCCGTCCAGTGCTTCCAGGTTTTCCATGGTGGTCTACCTTCAACTGACTCATGATTTCAATCTGTGACAACATAGAATACTCAGCACAAATATTAAGAAATGAGAATATGATTAGTGTATTACAAAACCTAATAGTATAGTGTGCATATGATCAATGTTGTAGATTTTCAAAATTATTTCGTTGGTGAAATGTTCCTGTAGACTTTCATTTCAATCATTTGAAGTTAATGGTTTTGGTCACAGATTTTAAATACAGATACAGACCTGACCAATAAGTTTCCAGTATGGGATTGAGGAGATTATTAAGTTTTTGATTGAGATCATGGACCGATTGATGCTAGACCACCATTGAAAACCTGGAAGCATTAGACGGCCTTTTCGTCCTATTGTGGGACTCTTCAGCAGTGCGCATCCACGACCCCTCCTCGCGAGATACGTACTCAGGACCTATCGGTCTCGCGCCAGGCGCTTAACCAACTAGACCACTTAGCCGACATCCAACAGTGTTAATGTCTAACTTCAACCAATCCACGAAATTGCGAGACCATCTTTAAATGTACTGAGGTAGATACTTGTCTCTACCCGACACGAATTAGCTCGAATAGGAAGAAACAGCCGTCCAGTGCTTCCAGGTTTTCAATGGTGGTCTAGCATCAATTAGTTCATGATCTCAATCAAAAACAATAAGTTTCTATTTAAAGATACATCCAGCTGAGGAATCGTAAACAGCATGAAACGTGCATTGTAGATTACATCGACAACCATGCAAAGAAAATACTGGTATCAATAATTATTGATGAATACCTGTCCAACTTGATATTAAACACTTGATGAATATTTTTAGAATAGATAGCTTGTGGTCAGCACTGGTCACAAGCACTCGTATTTCCTTTTGTTTATAGTTCATTAGGGAGATGGATCTGATTCAGTGTGTTGATATTTTATATCCAGTGACTTTCACTTTGAATACCAGCGCTTCATCTAATGAATTACCAGCTTGTTCAATGACTAGTATTATGTTCATAACATTACTAGTTAGTCACAATGTGAACGTCAACACTAGGGTATAGTTCGCATCCAGTTAACAAGTTCATTTTTAATCTCAATACATCTGATCTATAAAACATAACAAAATGTCTTTTTCAGAGAGTTAATTCTCATCACAGAAAGCAAAAAAAAAGTAAACTTGACATGTTTTATCACAATTAAAGATCTAATGCAATAGAGTAAATTGGTAAAAGTATAATATACCAATGACCTTGAATTAACCAACCATAATTAAGAAAACGCATTTCACATTTTGTGTGAATTTTTAAAGTACAGTGGTAGATAACGTGCATTTTATTACTTGTCAAGTGAAAATTGACAATATTTGGTACTTTAAAATGCTTAAAATCAATGAAAATATCTAATATGTAACCAAAAGCTGAATTTTAGGTTATGCGTATGCTAGATTACGTAATATACCTTTGTGTCGTTCGTTGCATAATCCATAGTGAAGCTAGATAGTGTTCTCCTTTTCTTACTCTTTCTCTCTAAATCTCTATCCTAATTTTCTAAAGCTTGTAAATCCAAGGGTTCCAAGGCATTAGATTTTAGCTTAACCCCTGACCTTAATTTATAAATCTTAAAAATCTAACTCGAACCTTTTTGTATTATGACTGATGTCAGTTGGAGACGAAAGCTCTACAGGGTTGATAATCCTATCTGGCAACACTGGTCTGACTCCAAATATATGAGTATATATGCAAACCTACTCTTTTTTTTACTATAGGAGATAATTTGACTTGTGAATATTAATTATTATCAGAAGGGGTTTTGTGGAGATTGTAGTAATTTCAACAATTGAGATCATGAGTCAATTGACGCCAGACCACCGTCGAAAACCTGGAAGCACTGGGCGGCCGTTTGGTCCTATTTTAGGACTCCTCAGCAGTGCGTATCCACGACCCCGCCTCACAGGATTCGAAGTTAGACATTAACACCGTCGGATGTCGGTTCAGTGGTCTAGTTGGTTAAGCGCCTGGCTCGAGATTGATAGGTCCTGGGGTTGGAACCCCGCGAGGCGCGATCATGGACGCGCATGATTGAAGAATCCCACAATAGGACTAAACGGTCATCCAGTGTTTCCAGGCTTTCTATGGTGGTCTAGCTTCAATTGGCTCATGATCTCAACTGTTGAAAATATTTATTATTACAATAAAAGCTGTTATTTCATTACCTAATATTGTTTATTAGTCACTACTTCCTAATTGGCTGATAAATCTCTCAAGGTCATCAGTATAATGTACTTTTACCAGTGAATTTCATTTAAGTTCACTAAATTGATATTCATATGTAACAATATTTATTATGACAAATGAAGAAGATATTGACTTCGTCTCTGTTAACACATCGTTACAAATTAAAACTGTATAATAATAATAATAATAATAATAATAATAATAATAATAATAATAATAATAATAAAGAACATCATATTAATTGATAAGTGTTTGTCTTTGTTAATCACCAATCAAATCATTGAATAACCTCTATGACTAGAAGAAATAATACTACTAATAATAATACAAGCATTATTTCTTATTATTGATTTGATCTTAAACTCATCTGAAAGAACAAAATCAATTGTTTTAATTAATTAATTAATTGTATTTTAATTAATTTTTTTTCTAGGTAATATATAAATATCATAATATTTCTGTTGATATGACAATAGATCATTTAAAAGATAAATCATTGGAAGGACTTAATATTAATGTAGTAAGTTATTGTTTAAATGAATATTAATAAATAATGTTGCCATTTCTCTTATTATCATTTAGTTACTCTTTCTTATTACTTTCTTATTCTTGAACATGAATTTAATGAACAAGTCACTAAATTGGAATGTAGTTGAATAGGAACCTAATCAAATATCCAATAAAAAGGTTGGATGAAAGCAGGAATCATAATAAGAAAAATGTTAGTGTATATTTATAGTTTTTACATGAAAGAATTCTAGAGTCTTCTTGCAGTATGTGCTAGTGTTGATTCGTTAAAAAAAATAGCTAATCAACGTGCCATAACATAATTCTTCACTGAACTTGCTTTAATTCAATTTATATCTCGGTTATAATTAGATTATGTAACATTTTTGTAATGAGATAAGATAGTTTATATATGTGTATAAATATAAATATCTAATAAGTTCAAGATAGGTGTCTTATTCTATCTTGAGATTATTTGAACAACAGGTATCCATAAACTTGAACAAGAGGGTGGGGGACAGGGAATGAATTTTGTAGTTTTAGATTTTTAATGACTGTTATAACTTGTGACTGCAGATAAGACCGTAGTGTATTAACAATCGCACCAAAGACGCGCAAACAAGTAAGAACGACCTAGAGTCCTGATTGGCCCTGCTTCCCTGTCTAGCCCAGCCAGTTGAGTCCAGAACGCAAGTCTCAGCCTCTGAGATATGAATCATTATATTTCAAGCATACTAAGTTTATATACCAAACAAACTGACCACAACGTACCAATGAAATATGAACAACATTTGTACAGGAATGAACCAGATGTGGCTGTGAATGAGGGAGGTAGCGATTAACAGATAGGGAATAATTCATGAAAGGTAAATCATATAATAATAGTTCATAGGTCAAAATAAAGCTCACAATAAGAGGGACATGAATATGAACAGTTTAGTTACATAACAATTATACGATAAAAATATAATCATAATATTGATCCATAAATGGATCCCAAAAATTAACATTCATTTATTCTTATCGGGATACAACAATGACATTTATATAAACAGTATATTACAACTATGTGCTCTACATGTTTAACAAATTTTATTAATAACAGTGAATTATAATGTAAACCAGCTGAAATTAAAACTGCATATCATTGGATGTTAGTTCAGTGATTTGAAAGGTAATTGTTCAGCTGAAGGTTTAAATGTCCTGAATTTGATACGTGATGAAGTTTTGAATGTATATTGGTGATGAGCTTCATACAGTGATAGAACTGGTATTCACTACTACTTCTGCGTTTTCAGTGATGGTTTGACTAAAATCAATCAACTCATGATTTAAACGTGAGAGTTATAATTATATGATGAATGATATGATCAATTCATTGTCTATCAGTAAATGGTTTTTAAAAAATACATTTGTTAGAATCCATTTTTGATAATACCTATGTTTTTGGTGAAAGAATGAGCATACAGTGAGAATTCTCTAGTACCGTATATAAACTTGTGAAACAGTTTTCTTATAGTTGATAGGTAAGAAAATTTGACAAATAACTCTATATGTGTAGATATTATTCAAACAAAGTGAGAATTATATAAACTTGGTTAATTTTGACCGGTCTAATGAGTTCATAAGTAAACATTATAGTTATAAAAAACTACACTTGAATTTTTGTTATTTTGAACATAATTTCAAAACTCTGTGTTGCCTGTTAATAAGAGTCTATAATTTCCCGTTATTGAAATTCAGAGATTTTAATTAGTTGGTTAGTTAGTAACCATCTATACTCAGTTGTAATTCAATATAAACTGCTCAAGGAGCTTGAAGCTAAGTGTAAACATAAACATTAGGATTCGGCTGGTATATGAAGCTGAAAAGTTCGGATTAAAAAGAAACAGGCACCCGGGATTCCTTTGCTATCTATCTGTTACAACAGCCTCCTAAAAAAAACCTACCATTTGAATTAATTCTTAATGGCCTCAAATAAAAAAACACAAGAGATGGAATATTATTCACTTGTTTAAAGGTACAATATTCTATTATGATAAATAAAAAAAAGTATTCAGAATGTACAAACACGGAATCGTGAGATATTTAGAAATCGTTTCTAACATCAAGAGTATACAACCGCAAAGGGCAAATTCGTTTATCTAATAAATGAAATGGTAACGTGCGAAACGAAAAGAGAAAAATAATCAGTTTATTTAAAGACTTACTTACGTCTGTTACTCCCAATGGAGAATAGGCCGCCGACCACCATTCACCAACCCACTCTGTCCTCAGCCTTCCTTTCCAATTCTATACAATTCTTGTTCATTCTTCTCATGTCTATCTCCATTTCCCTGTGTAATATGTTCTTTTGTCTTCCTAATCTCCTTTCGCTTTGATGATTCCAATTAAGGGATTTCCTTGTGATTCAGTTGGATGCTTTCATCAATGTGTGTCCTATCCACTTCCATCGCTTCTTCCTCATTTCTTCCTCCACTGAGATCTGGTTTGTTCTCTCCCACAATTGATTGTTGTTGATAGTGTTTGGTCAACGGATCCGAAGTATTATGTGTAGAGAACTGTTAATAAACACTTGTATCTTCTGGATGATGGTTTTCGTAGTTCTCCAGGTTTCCAATCCATACAGTAGAACTGTTTTGACATTTGTATTGAAAATTCTGACTTTGGTGTTAGTTGACAGAGAGTTGTTTTGAGTTGGAGATGTTCTTCAGTTGTAAATATGCTGCTCTCGCTTTATCGATCCGTGCCTTCACATCTGCTTCAGATCCACCGTGTTCATCAATAATGGTTCCCAAATATGTAAAGGTTTTTACATCTTCCAAATCTTCACCGTCAATTGTGATTGGATTATTGCATGCTGTGTTGTATCGGAGAATCTTGCTTTTCCCTTTGTGTATATTGAGACCTACTGCTGCTGAGGCTTCTGCTACAATGGAGTCCCGCCCGGAGTCCCTCCGGGGGCCACTGCCGGCCCAAGCCCGGATAAAGGAGGAAGGTTGGGCATGGGGTTAGTAACTTCATCCTGTAGAAAACTAACTCGCTAAAAAAACGCTAACCAGAAAAAAATATCCAAAATTAAAGACTACTACGTGAAAAATTAACAAGAGGATAAATAAAGTTTAGATTAAATAATTAGTGTATACAAAGAAAATTAAATTAAAACAAGAATCTGAACCAATAGAGTAAATTTGTAACTCAGGATGTGGATTTTGAAGATGATAAAGTCTCTGATATGAAGACTGTAACACTGATGAAGCTGAAATGTTATAAGTAATAGTAGCAGAATGAACAAAATGTTGACAACCGAAACTCTTGGAATTCCAGTAATTCTTCTTTGAATAATTGGATTGGTCAGTAATGCGTTTTTTTATTCCAGTCTATCAGAACAGGACAGTACTTTCTCTAATTACACAATCAACCTTTGGTACTGATAAGTTTTGCTAATTGAACGCCAGATTTAGATTCTAAGCTCTTGTTGAGTCGGCTTCCGATAATTACAACGGAGCCTCCAGAGGCCCTAATGGAGTCGAAGAGTTTCCATCCAATCGGAACATGATGGAACTTTTTAGAATATCAACGTGGCATGCTATGATTGAACAGTAGCATAATAGGTCTCTTTGCGGATTGGCCGGATTATAATTTTGATTTAACAAATACTAATATCTATAAATACCCATGATTTTCTGTACAATTCGATTCTTATCAAATAAAAACTTCTCCAGCTTTCCTTCTGTTTTCTGATTTGCGACGGTGAAGTTCCAACGTTCGAGTATCGTGGTCGTAAACGAGGTCGTAATCAGGTAGCGAACTTCACACTTCTAGTAACCCACAGGTTAGATCTATACAGTAACTTGAACACAAGAGAATAAGCGCGAAATATGGAAGGAACGCTTTACTCTAAAGGTTCGTTTCTGTACAGAAAATCGAGGGTTTTTAAAGCATTTCAGATGTTCTTGGGTTTCTGGAAAATCCCGGGAGGCTACTAAACATAGTAGCATTATAAGTAAACGTCAAATCAGAAAATCGAAATCTGACTTTTCACTTTCAATATATTTCTGGCAAAACTTCTAGTAACTTCTGATTAAATAAGATGCTTCTCAGTGATTCGGAGCATTTGTTGGCATTTTTCGAGGAGTTTTCTGGATCTCCCTAACAGGTACAAATGCATCGATTTATCAAACTGTAAGATATCAAGTAATTAAATCGTAAAGGAACATGAGTAAGTTGAAAGAAAAATGTATTTTTGTCAAACAACTGACAATGATTTTATCGGAAATAGATGAATCAACTCACAAGTGAACAAAGTCAGGTAATCAAGATAGTAGCTGTCAAAATAAGAATTTAATCAAAATAAAATTGCTATCATCAAAGAAATACCAAGAAGTAAAACTGAGACGATTGATCAAACATCATTATAATTAAATATAAGCAACAACCTTGTTTCGAATAAAAAGTCAAATATGGTACACAAAAATGGATGAATGAGAAGGGTAACTTTATATATGAGTAGAAAGGGTGAAGGGTGAGACTATAATTTATGAACAACCTTTTAACGAATCTTAAGTCACCCTGAGAAATTTCAGTCAGTTTGAAATAAATTTGGTATAGAGAAAGTATATGTTATGCAAAGCCAAAACATTAGAGTAGATACACTTCTTTGACATGGTTTAAAGAATTTTTAAGGTCAGAAAGAATCTCTACAGTTCTCAAATCGCAATGCATAAGGTACAGGAACTTGAGAACAGTTGACCTCTGGAACTGTGATAGTGTCGCGAATATTATTTTACACTCGACCATATTCTTTCCATATTGTTAGTTTGTACTCCGATTGTGAAGTTCACAAACTGTATCTTGTAAATAAAGACACGATGCACATAACCAAGTCTTGATAGGTATGTACATGCTCTCTAGTCCTATGTGTATATTATAGTACCCGGCTTCACATACCCTTTTATAATTAGTATCAGCGTTGCAGACTGTCAGTTTCTAACGTGATGAAAATGATTTTTTTGTAATAATCTATAATATATGCCAAAGACCTGCTAACTATACTTAAAGGAACTAAAGCATATTCAGTCTTCTCGAATACTTCTGCCTCTATTGAATATGCGTTTTCTATCGACTGTTTCATCGATTTCTACGATTCCTTCAAAGGACTGATTTAAGCTCATCAACTGTATTGCAAATATATCTCTATAGCGCTCATATTATTGAACTGCCGGAGCTTCAGCAGCATCTGAAAAGGTTGCAGACAGTGTTGCTGGTGCTTTTATTATCTAGTTTTCAAAAATTATCAGAACCTGTCTTAGTATCAATCGGGATCGAGTGAAAATATTCTTCATTTTAACAGGCTTCTTCCAACGTATATTACATCGAAATACAACATCTTCACGATGGTCTGCACAATGTCCAGCAGTTATTTAAACACCGAAATCACTAATGAAAGAACTCATCTGTTTTAGTCGCCCAACTATAATGTCCTCCTTGAAATCCACCGTAAACCGATCGTACATGTGCATTGGGTGCTGATGTAGGCATCATGATCTTGAAATCACTTACTCGCTTCTGATTAGCTCGTCCGCAAATCATAGTCTCGCTGTAAAGGACTTTGAAATAAGTTTTCGTGTTGAAGGATATTTTAGGTTATTTGTTACACATTACAAACCAATATAAATGGCTAAATACATTTTAATGTGCTACCTATTGATAATAAGTAGTATAGTTTAGTACGTCATATCAAGTCTTCGAATAAGGAAACCGGAATCTGTCAGTATGTTGATAGAAGTATGAGTTATTTAGAATCTGTTTTGTAATGCGACGCAATCACAGTGGCCATTGAGAAAATCGAAGATGAACGGAATTATGAATCTATTTGGTTACAAAAATGTTTTTAGAAAGTTCTCCCCCGACTGTTGGGAAGCTACTATTTCATCAAATTGCATATTGTTTAATTTACTACTGTTTCTTTCAGGAAAAAAGTATGAACTTTGAAGGTGTAATGATTTGCAATTACATTGATTATTTTTGTTTACCACAAGATGGTTGTATATAGTCGAAAGGAAACTCTGCTTAACCCAGGTTTTGTACTAGTTAATGCACAGAAGTAAAAGTGTACTTGTAATATTGCGTAAACTGATTTTCTATGAATGATTTGAATCCACCCCACATAAATTCTCACAGTCTGAGACGCTACCACTAAGTCAGTCGGTCCATGAATAGCCTTCTGTAGAACTGAAATGTTCACATTGATTAATAACTGCATATTGGTAACCAGTGTCCTGTCTTTTTTATGCTTTAATTGCTGAACAAATTCTGCCCAATCAAGTTATAATATATCCAGTTAGTTTACTGAACTCATTGTTATGTTAACTTCATTTTTTATGTTAAGTGGTTGAATTAGTCGATGGGAGATTGAACTTAACCACTTATAAGCCATGCTGCATCTTGATCAGATGGGTTCAATCAACACTAAATGACTAAATACAGTGATATTGCTCGTAAATACTACTACTACCAAGACTCAGTAGTCAGTCCATCAATGTACACTAGTTTACTGTTTTCATATATATACTCTGAAAGCAGTCAATCTCCATTTTGTCAAATTGTCCGAAAACTTCCCTCAACAAAGTCTCTAGAAGCCCAGAAAACGCCAGGAAAGTTTTATATAATTCTCATTAAATAGAAGCTTTTCAGAAAAACCTAAAAAAAAGAAGGATCTTGTGTCACATGTTTTGATTGGATAATTTGCTATACCGTTACTTTAGTTAAGATGTTTCCAGGATGTTCTAGAAAATCAAGGCCATATGGAATCCTATAAATACTCGATTTTCTGTACATAAACTAATCTTATAGTTAAATTTTTAACCACATTTCGCTTTTTTCTATCTTGTTTAAAATTGAAGTATAGAAGTAGTCAGGGGGGGGCTAGGGCATTCCCCTAGTAGATTTATCACATATATAATTAATCATAATAGAGAATAATTGAATAATTAATTTTCCCTAAACATAATTAGCAATAATCCTAATAAATAATATATCGTTGTTCATATTTATTATTGAATAGAATAATACAAAAGCTGATTTATATCTACGTTATACTGAATCAAATGGAGAAGAACGTGAAATACTTATGTATGGTAAGTATGAATTTACTGAAGTAAAAATTATTAAATAATTAACTTGTATATGTAATATGGTCATTCATTAATAATCTGTACTATGCATTGGATTGAAGTGATATAATATATATTTATTGAATAAATATATTCACACACACACACAAACAAACAAACAATAACAAATAATTACAAATGATTTCACTCTAGTACTCATTTTTACACACTTTACATAATCTTCAAATAATAATAGACAGGTAACAAGTGTACACATGATAATAATAATAATAATAATAATAATGCATACTTGTGTATATTTGTAGCAATTAGATAGGTGAAAAAAAACTTGGATAGAGTAATCAAGGAAATTGAAGCTACCATCTGTTTTGTTGAGATCAACTCAAGATAGATAACTATTGTAAAACAAGATTCTTTCTTGTGCCGATTTGAGACACATTACTAGTGCATAATGAAGAGCACCATATTTACAACTGAAGAACATCTCCAACTCAAAACAACTCTCTGTCAACTAGCATCAAACTCAGAATTTTCAATACAAATGTCAAAACAGTTCTACTGTATGGATTGGAAACCTGGAGAGCTACGAAAACCATCATCCAGAAGATACAAGTGTTTATTAACAGTTCTCTACACAGGATACTTCGAATCTGTTGACCAAACACTACCAGCAACAATCGATTGTGGGAGAGAACAAACCAGATCTCAGTGGAGGAAGAAATGAGGAAGAAGCGATGGAAGTGGATAGGACACACATTGATGAAAGCACCCAACTGAATCACAAGGAAAGCCCTTAATTGGGATCCTCAAAACCAAAGGAGAATAGGAATACCAAAGAACATATTACGCCGGTAAATGGAGATGGACATGAGAAGAATGAAGAAGAATTGTATAGAATTGGAAAGGAAGGCTCAGGACAGAGTGGGTTGGTGAATGGTGGTCGGCGGCCTATTCTCCATTGGGAGTAACAGGCGTGAGTAAGTAATTGAAGACCCCATCTACGGTCCAACCCAAGACTCTCAGATCACGGCGCGAGTAGCTTGCCTTTTGGGTCACTGAGGTCAGCATTCAATCATGTACTTGTCTAACTTTAATCAGTTCACAATATTGTGTGGCCATCGTTCAATATCCTTTATGAGTAACTGCTTAACACCTAACATGGTTGAACTCCACTGGTTTTAGTTTTTCACTAGAGTGATGTGAATCACCAGTTGAAATTAGTCACTAATGATCATATTATAATTATCTGTATAGAGATTTGTGAAAATTATTAAGTTATAGTCCTGGAGTAACGAACCCACCTAAGGAGTGGTCCCATATTAGAACGAAACATCTGTCCAGTGATTCTTGGTTTTTATTGACCGTTTAGACTTGATTGGTTAGGCATCTCATTAATATTCGAAATTCTCTACAAAACCCTGTTTCGATAATTGCCATATGTGTATCCGTTTATCACATTTAACACAACCATTGTGGTGTGTTCTACTTATATCGATATAAGTAGTATATAACACCAGTCAGGAATGAAATGCCTGACAACAGAAAGTTGAGAAGATCGATGAAAGAAGAACGGGAATAGAAAGCAACCAGTACGGAAATGCAGGAATAATGAAGCCTGAGACAGGTAATTAACATTTTGAAAATGAAGAATTGGAGTATAATTTTCCTATTTTATCAACTCTATAATTTTGCGCTAAATATAAGTTGTCGATCAATGGTGACCCACTAGTGCTGGCTATGGGGCTTACCAGGTTGTTGCTCCGCGCGCTACCGAATCTGGATGAGGAGTCAGACGCACAGTTGTTGGCGTTGCAGTTTATCAAGAGAGTGTCTGCCGTCGTTTCCCAGCAGCTGAAACTAGCAAGAGCCGCACAACTCATGGATATCAGTGAACTGGCAAAAGTGACCAGACAGTTGATGACTCGAACAGTAGTTCCGGTGGGGTGCGAGAGCCAGGAGTTAAACAGTTTCGAGAAGAACATTGAGGAGCTGCAGCGTGAGATTGCTTAAATACAAGTGAATCATAACAAAAATAATAAATGTTACACCTGTGGAGGGACAGGATGTTGGGGGACAGACTATCCAGCAAGACGAAGGCGCAGATATTTTAGACGTTATAACTCGTGTTCTTTCTACCCAACGAATCTGGGGGTTTTTGTAATAGTAAATAGAAGGGCAGTTTACACGAGAAAAAGCATAAACGAATGAGATTTAGTGTGTCCGATTGATACAGGCAGCAGTATCATAAATAGACAAAGAGCAATGTAAGAGACTCAGGCCATGTACATTAGCACTTAACACCATCGGAGGGCACATGTTGGTGTTGAGTATATCTAACAGTATCGTAAAAGTAGGTGGTGCTGAGATAAATTTCCCGTTTGTAGTAACCACAAGCCTATCAAGGCCTATAATAAGAGTAGATTTCCTAAGCGAATCATAAGCAATAGTTGACTTAAGAAGCAGTAAGATGGTCACAAGTTACGGTTTATATTCAATACATGAAAGTAACAAAGTAGCTAAGAGTGGTTGTAGCTGTGTAGTTGTGTACAACCATACATAAACAGATCACACCAAGCATGTGGAAGTGGTCTTAAAGCGAACTGAAGAATTCGGACTTTGAATTGATGAGGACAAGTCTCAGATAGCGAAAAATAGCATCATGTTGGGGCATAAACTACTACTGGAGAAAATTCTAAGCATAGAGAAAATTGCAGTACTTAATTCGAAAAGAAAATTGAGACGTTCCCTAGGAAGGGAGGCGTTCTACAGTCGGTTCGTCAAAAACTTCAGTGAAACAGCAGCACCCCTATATAAGTTGTTGAGCAGCACTAAGTTTACGTAAACAGAGACGCCCAACAAACGTTCGACCGAGTCAAAAACATACTAAACAACTACCAGTTGACTCTCAGATTGCCTAAACCTGAAAAACCGTTTACAGTGACCACAGATGCAAGTGATCGTGGTATAGGTGCCATCTTGAGTCTGTCTGACAGAGTGGTGGAATACGCGAGTCGCGTTTTTACACCCACAGAGCAGAAATATTCAACGATCGAAAAGGAGTGTTTGGTAATTTTGTCCGCAGTAAACAAATTGAGATCGCACTTTTCAGGTGGACGATTCTACATCGAGACTGACCATGAACTCCTACAGTGCCTGAAACAGCAAGAGACCCCGTGGGAAGTTAGCTCGATGAATAATACGTTTTGCAAGATCAAGACTTCAGTATCGGTCATGTTCCAGAGAAAGAAAGCGTAATGGCAGACTACTTGTTGAGACCAGACACGGAAGCCAAGCTTCCATTGATAACATACAAAGTGAACAGTATAGAGGGAGGCCCACTAGAACTTGCCCGGCAGCAAAAAGCTGACCCTAAACTTCGAGAGGTAATCAAAGTGATAAAAGAGAGAGATGTCGACAAACGAGCAATGGACAATATTGCTTCGACAAAAGGAAAGACTGGGAATAAACGCATTAAGAGCCCTGATCTGGCAGGATGATGAAGAAAATTGGGTGTCCTCGTCTGCATTCTCCTTAATCATAATATTTATTCATTACATATTTACGTTAAAGATTGCCGTTAGTTTATTGTTTGTATAGAGATTTTTCTGGGGATTCGGTTTATAATTTGATAAAATAACTTTCGTGAATGATTGAGATCAACAATGACTACCTTTAGATGAATCTGTCCGAAATTACTAGCTGAAGTCATGTGACGTGAAGTTCAAACATATCAAAAGCAAGATAATCATTATCATCAGTGCTATTACGTAACTGTTGAGTTTTCGTTGTGAATTTATTGAGCTTAAATGTATGGACCGATAAGTGTTCAACTGAATATAGTCGAATAACATCTGATACGAAAACTAGGTCAAGCAGGAAGTCCTGACGACTATCTCCAACCACCTAATATCTAAGCAACTTGATTGATAGAATTCTATCAGTAATAAGGATTACCTAAACGTAACATTAGCTACTAATCAGTTATTTATTTATTTATGGTAGGGGACAAGATATTAGCGTCACACAAACGAATAAAGAGTATTATGAAAGAATAGAAAAAGACGTAGACAGTACAGTCAGTAAATAACAAAACAGAAATGATGCTTGATGAGAGATACAACTCAATTAAGGATACTCCAGAGAAGACTTCTTGTTAAGACCATTTTACAATTATGAAAAGTATGATAACACGGCAGACAATCAGTCATATATATTAGTATCTCAAGTTAGTGAGTTGTACCATCACTGGGGCTCCGACCGTAGAGTTGTGATATATCAACTAAGACAAATCCTAGTCCTATACAGCTATATTTCATTCCATGATACTATGTTATAAACTAACCACTTCGCCACTTTTTCACCCAGTCCTTCAGGGTTAACAAATGATACACGATATGGTAGTCAGTGTAATAGCATTCATAAAACATGACCATTTCACCCGAATTCGATTTTTTAAGGTGGTGATATTAATCGAACTATTGTGTCAAGATACATATTGTCGGACCGCGGTATTTCTAAAATATCGTTCCCAATGGATGTGAGATATCCTTTATAGACGACACTGATGGAACATAGAAAGAGTGAATTTCACAGGAGCAGCGAAATCGCATACGTAGTTTGAGTAGAAAACGATAGTACACACTAAATATCCCAGCAAATTATTCGCTTTATAAACTAGACTTATTCCTTTATCATAATATTTTTGTCAATGCAAATATGAGGACTTGGTTTGTAAGAAAGCTATTTCAGGTGAGTAGTGTTTATACAGATGTATAGTCTTGTGGCAAATATTTAAGTATATCATAATATCGTGAATTGATTGAAAAGTCGTGAGTAGTCAGATTTTGGACATGTCTGTCGTGAAACAGTTACCATCAAAGACCTAAAATTATCGTCGCACTATATCGCTAATTGGCTAGTGTTAAAATTGTCCTACTAGACGTCGGCTCAGTGGTTCTAGTGGCTAAGTGTCATCCACGAATCCTGAAGGTTCTGGGTCCAATCCATATTAGCACCTTATCGGTTTTCAGTACTGAACAGTTCCATACTAGGACGAAGCAAATGTCCAATGCTTTCTGGTTTCAATGGTACCTCAACTGAAATAAATCTATAATGAACACAACATACAAATAATCAAATGATCTTTTCCCATTGAATGCATTCATCGAATAACATGTGTTTCTTTTCATCTACAGGTCCAGAAAATCCATTTTTAATAGCACTCTCTAGTGTTCAGTTGAATACTTCGGATTCTTCATTGAGTACTCCTAAATCAGCAATAACTGTTTCTAATACTACTAGCAATACTACTAATATAAATAATACCACCGGGAATAATAGTCCAGACAGTAATACTAATCACTATAAAGATATATTGGATCTAATAAAGAAAGTCTCTTTATCACCACAATCGGAGAATAGAACAACTGATCATAACCATAACAACGGTAGTGATTACATTATTTCAAGAGATCAAATTAAAATTAGTTTTGTACTTCGTCCTGTAGACAAATATTATTCAACTGAAGATAATCAACATCATTATCAAAATTATCAAAGTAAGATATACCTAATTAATTAATTCAGTAGATTTTTTGCCTCTAAATAACACATTCATCATAGACTGATCACAATAATCAGAGATCCTAGTTTTAATTCTTACTGAAATCAGTCATAGTTATGAATTTCATTGAGTAGTGAAATGTCACATTGAGATTAGACAGTTATTCAACTGTTTTTAATTTTCAAATGGGTGTGTGTAGAGAAATAAATGAACCATGATGAACAACAGAAGTTATTTTGAGGGACATTATTTCACTTGATTCAAGGTTTGTAAAGTAAATTTAGTTTTATCCCCAAGTTATACTACTACCATATTGGAGTCCCTCCGGGGGCTACTGCCGGTCCCAAGCCCGGGTAAAGGAGGAGGGTTGGGCATCCGGTTAGCGTCCCCATCCAGTAGAAAACTAACTCGCTAAAAAACGCTACCAATCACAAGCTGTCGTTTAATGCAAGATTCACTGCTATGCCCTTTTCCATTTCAAGCTATTGTAATCTAAACATAACTTTTTGCACTCTGTTTTTCTACCCTGATGTTTAGTTTCAACATAATTGCATTTTTCTGGATATTTTGTGCGTTGTGGTCATGTTAGTCATCTGTTAATTCATGTATCTTTTTACACTAATCTGAATCGGAAATCGGCAATCAGGAATCGAGTAGTGATCCAGTTGACTCGTCATCTCTCTCACTTTTCAACTAATAAAGTGATAGGATAGTTTTCGTCTCTCTGCCTGAAGTCGTTAGTCTCAATTCGGAAATGCGCATTCCTACCCACAAGGTTGAACTAGTCAACCTATCGTGTCAAGGCCTTAACCTAGATCGAGACAAATCTTCACCTGTAATATTATTGGGTAGACGGGTCAAGGACGTAACAAAAATATTATCAAGAATGATTTATTATTATAGTACTATTGTAGTGAACAAGAATACGAGTGGGGCAATCGAATGTATTTGAACATGAAATTACAGAATATCTCACTAAAATTTAAGAACCATACAGTAAATACTTAATTTGCAAAATACCGATCAATTGTCTCAAACTTGACTATTCTTTTTCAAATATCGGTTCATCGTTTGTGCATTTCATACCAATTGCTTTCCGTTCCCGTTCTTCTGTTCTCGATCTTCTACTGAAATAAATTCTATTCCTGGCCATCATTGTATACTAATGTGGATATAAGTAGCTCAAACCATACTATTAACTGTCGAAACTTTTATAATAGTATGGTTATGAAATAAAACTTAACCTATATACTGTTGCTAGCTGAAGAATTATTTTTCTTAAATCAGGAAATGTTCATCAGTAATTCGTTGATTATATTTATAGATTATACAGAAAAGTGCATACTTCGAGATTGGTTGGTGTTTAACCATTGACGATGATACTGTGACTGACAATCACGGTAAATCTTGAATTGACTAAAGTTCTTATGAGAAATAAATCAGTGGATGATTCCCTATTCATGTTTTAAAAGTAATTCATTCATCTTGATTTCTTGGATTCTGTGCTTGGTGACTGATTGGTTTTACAATAATGCACACATTCCTAACAAGTTTTATACGTGGACAGAATAATTTTGTAACGAGTTTCTTTGCTTTGAATGGTCCCTTACTTCCTTTGCCCAATTAGACATTAGTTTCTTTATTAAATTTCTCTTCCTAATTTGCCTATTTGTACGGCGAAATTATTTTAACCAAGTAAAGAATATTTCTTGAAGACTTGTATCTTCCCGTAATTGATACTAAAGATTGTAATTAATTAGTTTCGATTAACATGTATACATTCTAAGCGGATAACCTCGATATCAACATTTAATCACCATCTTTAATCAGGTCGCATATTGGTTAACAGTGCAATACAAGACACGCGTTTCACCTAACTTGAAACTTGTCAGCTGCTGTATATCGTGTTAACATTTGGAGTAAAAGATATTGGATTCGAATAAGTCTTAGTGTGAACATCAACATACTGAGATGTGACAAGTGCATCCAACCGACGAGTCCTAAACAGAAAAAACTCACATTGTAGTTACCTACTGCTAGACATTATCCGACTTTAAGAATAAAGAATCTGGCCTTAGATTATATTCAATAAGTCATATGTACATGATTGATTCTATCTCTTAGCATCAGTTATATGGACAACATATGCATGCATATCTCAATCACATCATACGCTAAGCGTTTTCAACGAATTCATTTTCATAAGTGAGATCAACATGATTATATGTTTGTCTGTTGTTATTTTTCCATTACAAAACACAAAGATATGCATATAATTTGTACTTTTTATTCCTGATTAGAAGTTTCAACAAAATCTGATATGAAATCTACAGAATATGTGAGACAAGAACGTGGACGTTCCACATCAAAATCATCTTCAGCATCAGCATCAAGAAATCGTCGAAATGATACAACACAAAACAATAATATGATGACTAAATCCAGTATATTCTTAAATCATAATAATACAAATATTAGCAAACAAAATACTAGTACTAATGTACCATTGCGTGGTGCAATTAGTACTAGTTCACTTCAAATTGGTACAACACAAGAAATACAATGTGGGCAAATTTTTGGACGTCTGCCTGAACAATGTTGGCCTGATTCTCAATTACCGGAATCTTTAGTGGTAAATAAGTTATCTTTTTTTTTAAAGCTGTGCGATTTTGCTATCGCTAGGGATTCGAATCGATATCACGTAGTATATTGCCGGTCAGACCAGTCACCTATTTCTTGAATGTATACATTAACCAACGAACAACAATCAAGATCTTAACGCTGATTAGTCCTCGGACCCTCCTTAAACGGAAGTAGGTAGGAAGCAGATTAGTTATCTATGGTTAGCATTTTATTTAGCAAGGTTGTTTTCTATGTGATAAGGTTGCTAACCCAATCCCCAACCTTCCTTCTTTATCCGAGCTTGGGTCTGGCAGTAACCCTAGAAGCACTACAGAAGGAGTTATTTCTCTATGTTATACAATTAGACAAAAACTCGAATTGAATGAAATAATGTCTGACTACACAGGATAGCACACCAAATAAGAAGACACACTTTAAGCACAATTGTACCAGGAGTGGTGGAGGATGAAACAAGCAGTACAAGGTTAGTCAGCGATAATTAAAGAATAGCACTAGACCGATTGAAAGTTTACACAATAAAGAGAACATTTAGCTGCAACAATAATGTTGTCTACCAATTATACAGTAAAGAGATAGTAATCGGTAAATAGCAACGAGTTTCAACTTTCCCAATATTCGTCGCGTCATAACAGTTTCACTAAAAATTTAAAATGAACAGTATAATTTGACGTTTATACACAACTTTTCATTTCAAAATTCATCTACTGATAAAATAATTATCAGAAGGGGGTTTGTGGAAATTTTAGAAATTTCACTGATTGAAATCATGAGTTAATTGAAGCTAGACTACCATGGAAAACCTGGAAGTACTGGACGGCCGTTTCGTCCCAGTATGAGACTCCTCAGTGATGCGCGTCCACGATACCGCACCTCCGGATTCGAATCTCGCGGGATGTGGGATCGTGGACGCACACCACCGAGGAGTCTCATACTAGGACGAAACGGCCGTCCAGTGCTTCCAGGTTTTCCATGGTAGTCTAGCTTCAATTGGCTCATGATTTCAATCAGTGATAAGATAATTGTTTGATAAGATGGAGTTAACCTCTATTACTATTCGAAACACATTTTATTCAGAAATTGTTTTTTCTGATGGGACACCATTTAATTATCACTATATTTACTCGTTGTATGAAATGAGAACTGCAATTAATCAATCTCTATCGGGATATAAGGAGCCTGTGCAAATTGCCTCAATATAAACTTTTGTAGCATGTTTAAAAAAATAGATAGAATACGGCTAGCAACACAATCCCGGCTAGCTCATTTCCAACTATTTTGGACAAATCATGTGGATAAACTTGCAGCCCACAGTTTTGATGTGGATAATGAGATTGGAACCAAGTACGCTTCAAATGAAATGCTGATACTTTGTACACTGAGCTGCTGGGTCTGGGTGGTTCTACAATGTTATGAGTTGATTAGAACTGAAAATGCAGACCATTTGATGTCAACTTAATAAGTTAATAGTCAAGAACTAATCTGGGTTCATTTCACGGGTAATTTCATGAGTGAACACTCCCGTGGATCCCTATGTTACGATTAAACAGCTGTCTATTTGATGTAAAGCAAAAATGAAGTGGATTATTGAGCTATATTGTGATCCGTGTAATCATGGCGCTATTGTGTAAGCAGTTATATATCCTAGTGTGATTATTAATTAGATCGCCTCTTATTCACAAAAGGACACAATGGTCAACGAAAAAATAATCAGGTCTCTAACACCTATCGGTCTTTCAACTCTTTTCAACCTATTGTCCATTAAGAAGACTAAGATACAAGACATTCAGTTTGTTTTGTACTCTTCTTAGTCATGATTCAAAAATCATACAGTGTTATACCTAGTTTATCTGATCACACAGCAACACGAATCGAAAATCCTGATATTAAAAAAACTCATTCATAGTTGGTACAGAGCAGATTAATAGAAACGTAATTAGTTTATGATCATTCTGAAACAATTAGGCATATAATAATAATTTATGGGTTGAATGAAAACTAACGAATAGGCAAATATAAGATCAAAGTAACAATTACACGACAAAATTCCAAACAATGATTTTACATTGAAATCATGAAGCGAACAATATTAGACCACCATTAGAAACCTGAGAGCATCGGTAGGTCGTTTCGTCCTGGTATAGGGCTACCCATCAGCCGGCACCAACGACCCCGAACGTGAGGATCGGACCAGTCTCCCACGTGGACACCGAACACCCAGACCACTGGGTTAGCATTCAGCGGTCCTCTGTTCAGCTCCTGCATGTGGAGTCGTGGATGCTCACTCCTGGGGAGTCTCATACTAAGACGAAACTGCCATCTAGTACTTCCAGGTTTTCAACGGTGCTCTAACACTGATCGGCTCATGATTTTATTGAAATATATCAATCTCCACACCTGCATACTAATATTTTTTTATTGAATACCTTTTTAAGTTCAATCTTTCCGAAATTCACTTCTGCATGAAATCATTACTTACTAGTGTCTAATGTTTATCCAACTAACATTAGTTTGTAACTTAAATGTAATCGGAATTCAAAGTAGTGTGCTTTTACCGAGTTTTTCTCTTTTCTTGTCATCAGTAAAAGAAAATAAATGGTGATCGTTTTCTTTTTTTGCTATTGTTACCTTCATTTTTACTAGAATCTATTTGCTATTGTATATTATAATGGGGTAAATGTTGAAGGAATATTTCGACGTACAGCTGTTCATAGTCAAATTGAATTGATGAGAGCACGTGTAGATGAAAATATTCAAATGATTACACCAAATAATTGTAGTCCAATTTTAGCATCGTGTGTTTTAAAGGTGAGTTTACGTAAATATACAGTTATTATATATACATGTGTACCTGTGTAGTATGTACTACTTGTGTTGACAGAAATAAACAGCATGTAGCAGCAATCGGAAGTAAGTTGCCCGCCAGAAAACGATTGAATTGAAGAGAAGAGAAAGCGGAATGAAGAGCAATTGGAATAACAACAGAATTGATAGAATCATGGAGTATGTATTGGACAACTGAAGGAAAATGTGCAAATAATATATTTCATGTATGATTTCCATATTTCAAGAAGACATTGTGTACTTTTGCACACAGTAATAAATTAGTTTGGCTCACCTGAACTCTCGTTTATTCCACTTATATGTATGATTACTATAATTATTATTGCGTTCGACGGATGTAATTCATCACTGATTGACATTGATTGAGGTAGCACTGAAATTTTGGAGCTCTAGATGTCTGTTTCATTCTAGTATATGTAACAGTGAATACAACAGTAATCACCAATATCATTGGTTGTTCGTCACACAATATTACAAATGATCTAATGTTGAGAATGATCACTGTTGCTCATCAATCCAGTGAATTAATAGTTAAGTGTGCTCTGAAAGATCTAGGAATTTTTAGTTTTGATGAATCCCATACGTAGACGAGACAGCTATTCATTATTTGTGGGTACCACAATTGATGTGAGAAAGTAATGAATGTCATCTTAAAATGTGTCATATGGCTGTGTTGTGTTCCCAGTAATAGTCTGTGCTTAATAGTCAGAAGAAGATTGAGAGTTGTCTCAATATAATTGATAACCTTGAGATGATAGGTTGCTTAATACGATCTTGAGACCTGCGTCGCATAAGTTCTGTTTGTGACTGTTCGGAGAGAAAAGAAACTATCGTATCACCAATATATGACCTAATCGCTTCGGCAAAAAGAGAGAAAGTTCGGTGGAGAATGCTCGTGGGTGACCTATTCTCCTCCATGAGGGGCAACAGGAGTACGTATTCTATTTCTTTCTTCATAACTAAAATGAAATCGATCTGTATTAATATTCATTTCAATAAGAGCATTTTCTTTTTTCCTTCTTTTTTCTTATATAATAGAGGTTTTTCTGTGAAATACCTGGTCATTTATTAATCGACTCTCATTGGGATGAGTGGGCCAGTTTAACTGAAATTAGTTCAGCATCAGAACGTTTACAGGTTCTTGAAAGGTTAGAGTTGATTTTTTTCTAATTTTTTCTTAAATTTCCATTCCAAATTTATGACCGAAAAAAGACACTATAACTAGTTCGTTTTTGTATTGGTTGTCTGGGTCTTACCATTCATGTTTAGGACTGCGATTGATCAGTTCCTCTTATTGGCATATATGCATCCTTTGCGAATTGCTTCAATATTTTCATTAAATCACGGCATTATAAACAGAGACTGATGGTATTATTAAATCTTGTTGTTAATGGGAAGGCTGAACTTTAGCAGTTCCAGACCACGATGAACATATGAAACCGTAAAAAAAATGAACAGACGCAATCAGTCACATATGGAGCGAAGCGAGCGAGAACCTATGTAAACTAAATGTGCTAGTCACATCAAAAGATGAGGTTGCAAGTATGATATTAATTAAAGACTTTAATAGTGAAGATGAATACTAACAGAAGATCTCTTGGACAAAATTAAACCACAATAGAAACTTGAACTGTAACCGCATAACAATTAGCTAAGTAGATCATCATAGTGACTGGAAAATTCAACTAATCTCAATTAGACCGTCTACTCATATATGTAGGAATGCTTTTCTTGCTTTGCTAATCCTCGCCTGAAGTCAGACATCGAAATAACTGCAAGCATGCTTTACCTTCTATTCAAAAAGATTTGGGAGGAGGAACAAGTGCCGATGAACTGGAAAGAAGAACACCTCATCAAGATTCCAAAGAAAGGAGATCTGAGCAAATGTGAAAACTACAGAGGCATTACACTACTGTCAATACCAGGGCAAGTCTTTAACAGAGTTTTGCTGAACCGGATGAAAGATACAGTTGACGCCCAACTTCGAGATCAACAGGCTGGATTCCTTAAGGATCGGTCGTGCACAGACCAAATTGCAACACTACGGATCATCGTCGAACAATCAGTTGAGTGGAACTCATCACTATACATCAACTTCATTGATTATGAAAAAGCATTCGACAGTGTAGATAGGAGGACATTATGGAAACTTCTTCGACACTACGGAGTTCCTGAGAAGATTGTCAACATTATCCGGAACTCATACGACGGACTACAGTGCAAAGTCGTGTATGGAGGACAGCTGACAGATGCATTCCAAGTAAGGACCGGAGTCAGACAAGGCTGTTTACTCTCTCCCTTCCTCTTTCTTCTGGTGGTCGACTGGATTATGAGGACCTCGACATCTGAAGGAAAACACGGTATACAATGGACAGCTCAAAATCAATTAGACGATTTGGACTTCGCAGATGACCTAGCCCTCCTATCGCATACACACGAATAGATGCAGATAAAGACAGCCACTGTAGCAGCAGTCTCTGCATCAGTAAGCCTCAGCATACACAAATGGAAAACCAAGGTCCTCAAATTCAAGGCGGAGAACAGCAATCCAATCACTCTTGATGGCGAAACTCTGGAAAATGTAGAATCCTTCACATACCTGAGAAGCATAATCGATGAATAAGGAGGTTCAGATGCAGACGTAAAGGCAAGGATTGGCAAAGCAAGGACAGCATTCCCACAGTTGAAGAACATATGGAACTCAAAACAACTTTCGACCAATATCAAAGTGAGAATCTTCAATACGAACGTCAAGGCAGTTCTACTGTACGGAGCTGAAACTTGAAGAAATACAACAACCATCATCAAGAAGGTGGAAGTACTTATAAATAGCTGTCTACGCAAGATACTCAACATCCATTGGTCGGATACAATCAGCAACAGCCTTTTATGGGAGAGAACAAACCAGCTTCCAGCTGAAGAGGAAATCCGGAAAAGACGATGGAAATGGATAGGACATACATTGCGCAAATCGTCAAACTTCATCACGAGGCAAGCCCTAACTTGGAATCCTGAAGGGAAGCGAAAAAGAGGAAGGCCAAAGAACACATTGCGTCGGATAATAGAAGCAGATATGAAAACGATGAATTACAACTGGACGGAGCTAGAAAGGATTGCCCATGACAGGGTTGGATGGAGAATGCTGGTGAGCGGCCTATGCTCGTTCACGAGGATTAACAGGCGTAAGTAAGTAAGTAAGTACTCATATATGTAGTGAACGAGAACATAAGTGGGGTCGATCAAATGTATTACAGAATCTCTTATCAAAATCTGAGAACCATACAGTAAATACATAATTTGCAAAATATCAATCAATTGTCTCAAACTTGACTATTCCTTCTGCAAATGTTAATTAATCATTTCGAACTTCACTGTTTCTTCATTTCCATAGCTATCATTCATTGTTGTCGTTTTCTTTTCTTCGATCTATTTAATCCTCTGTCGTCAGGTATTTCACTTTCGACTGATGATACATACTATTTATATCTATTGACATCAGTAGCACACACCACAATATGTATCTAAATTAAGTGGCAAAGGTGTCAGAAAAGATTAATCATATAAGTCAGTAAATTAGTTACATTTTTCGATGATAAAAGTTTTATCTTATGATATTGTAAATTGTATTCATACAGTAAGTTATTGATTCAATGATGTCAAGCGTTATTCAGTTTCAGTTTCGTTGGACTTTGATAGTTGATCAGTATTTAGAGAACTATGTTAAAGCATGGAATTTTAATCTTTTTTTAGTGTATAATTAATTTTTATATGTTGCCTATAACAATAGGCAATGGAGTTAAGAGGTCATATAAAGTAGGTGGGGAATGATTGGTCAACTCTTTATTTGATCTTCATCAATAATTCTCCAGGTTATGATGAGTTGTTGTTAGTGATGAAAATTGTCTTGGTGTCGGGCAGTGAATTTTGTGTGTTGATCAACAGCATTCGATAAGCACTTAAAACTAGGCAAACATTATAGTAGCCACCTTAATTTGAATAAGTTAGTCCCACAGAAGGTCAATCATATTCTGCTTAGCTTAGCTATAACGTGACGTATGTGAAGTGTTCCATCTGCTAGCCAAAGGACAAGTATATTATGCATCAGTTTACTCTGTTCTACTAAATGGGTGTAAAACATTATCATAACGAATAGTGAATATTTGTGGATTGCTAGTATTCGATCATAGATACTTTCAAAGCATTACTCATATATTTTGGGACCACTGATTGGGAAATGCTAAGGTTAGACATAGGGTACTAAGTAAAAATGATAAATCAGTTGATTAAGTGGTTTGGACATGCATCATATATACCCAACTACTTCCTACCTCGAACGGCGATGTTTGTTGGTGTAGGTCTAGGTTGGAGAAAACTAGCCGCGGCTAAGTCAATACATGGCATCAGTTCATGAAATCACTGACTGTTGGACTGAGCCATGTAGGTAGGTGTAAACTAGATGATTGCGTCCTCACAAATATTGTAACCACTGGTTGGAGATGTCGAATAAAATAGCTTAGAATCGCTCGTTATAGCACAGATTCATATACTGTTAGTTTTTCTGTAGATCTTTAGTCCTGAAATCTCTCTGTATTTCCTTTCTATACCTAATCCTCTCTAGCATTATTGACAGTGTTACTACTTTTACTCTGGGATTTGTCACGATATTTTTTCTCTGTGCTAATGTGGTGCGGCAACTTCAGCTGTTGCACACATCTACCAGGTTCTACGTTGTAAATGAGTCAGTGTGTGTGTGAGAGAGAGAGTGGGTGTATGAGTGGGTTGAAGCATCTCAAAATCAGAAACTGAATGACTGGGCTTCGAATCCACTGTGGAGTAACTTTCTCTTCAAGGTTACTGATATGCCCTGCTAAATTGACGAATGTCAACTAGCATACAATCTAGGTTCAGCGTTTCCAACTGACTACCTTTAAGGACTACCAGTTATTCGAGTATTTTTTTCAAAAATTGCTATTTGATACTGATGAATACTTTCTATGAGCATATATCTCTTTTCATTTGATTCGTATATATCAAATTTCAGATTGATTCGTAATCTTCCCAAGGTTAATCAGACATTACTGGCCTTGCTAGTTTATTTACTTGCACATATTCGTGATAATGAAGAAATAAACCGTATGTCAGCTAGAAATTTGGCGGTTGTATGGGGTCCAAATTTAATTCAACGACCAAATTCTCCATTAGCATTATCTGATTCTATGATAACGACACAAATTATAACTTACCTGTTGGAACCGGCAGTAACAAATTTCTTATTAAGCACTAGCAATGTTAAGATGGAATTGAATCAACACTTTTCAAATATTTGGGGAAATTTTCTAAAAGACTCTAATAATAAGACAAAAATTCAAAACACCACTACCACATCAACAGCAACAACAAATACTGATTCATCAGATGATGATAAAATTTCTAAACAAGATTCTGATTTCCATTCTGAACGGAAAACAACGAAACAACATCCTTCACGAAGAGGATATTCTGTTTCAAGTAAGTATTAAGAGGAATGAAATGTTATAATTTGATATTTGTATCGGCAGCATATAGTTAGATTCTTGACCGAACTGATGCCTGAATTGGGATCCTAACCTGACCCCATAGTTTAGGTAGAACTTTATCACTGAGAAATTCAAGTAACTACTGGTCTCCTCTCGGGCTGAGAAATATTTACAAATGATTGGCCACTAAGTAATCGTCAATGTCACGTTCTTTTTTTTTTAGGTTTTTTCATGTTGATCGGATTCTATCGATTAAGCGCATAGTTTCCTGTCTATTAGGACGTAAATGTATTTCCTTATCAAAAACCAACACAATCCAATAACAATCAATGGTAATAATAAAGATAGGAGAATGTGTAACTCATCCCTCGCCCATACATCATATTCATGATACTATTTTGGTATAAGACTTGACTTTTTATATTAAAAACTATGATACAATAATTTTATTCATCTACTTTTTTTCTATTTTCTATTTTATGTATACCAATTATGTAAATATGAAGATATACCACCACAGATAAGGTGAGTTCTATAGATTAGATTCATCAATGTATATACCATTTCCCTTGGTTAAACTTAAATTACATTTCAAGTACTAAACAAAATTTAAAAATAAAAATAAAAAACAGAACATCAATAGAGAAAATGAATGGCAATTTATTGTTCTAATTAGGTCCTTTCATTAATGAACAATTTTTTTCACCTCTTCCCCCATTTGAACTTCTCAATTCTGTTTTAAGATATATATTACAACCAAACTGTTGTACAGTGATTACATTTTTAATCATGATAACATCTACTAATCACACTTTCATATATTGCTAGGGCTAACAAAACAAAAACAAACAAAAAAAGAATACCCATAATCGTTTCAATATCCATTGATGATTACTTCTATGGTTTTAAAAGTTGAGAGTTTTTGCTGCCATACCTTGATGATCTTAAGTTTATTCCCTTGTGAGGTCGAGAATGCTAATTGTTGAGGAGTTTCATGTTAAGAAAACGAAGTTTACTATCGCAACCCAATTTTTAAATGAGGTAAACTTGGGACAAATGCTATGTAAACATTTTAGAACTTTTGTTTAAAAAGTTTACAATTAATCAGCTTTAACTAACTAGCTTAAATCCTACGGAGTTGAAGGTCGTCGACTGGAAACCCTAGACTTGAGTTTCATGTCAAATAGGTGTTTTGTGTTTCCTGGTGTACTCAATCCAGTGTCAACCAGTTTAACAGTATTATATGTTACCACTAACCTATTCAGGCGGTAACTGACCTCCTGTAGGATTGAAATGTATTTACGATTAGTTGACCACTGAATGGTAATGAATACCGTGCTTACCTAGCTGATCAACTTCGGGAGAGATATTTGTATAAAATGGAAATCTGGTCTGGTATTTTCAAGTTTTCCCTTTTTAGTAATAATTCAATTATTTTTGTTACATTGTTGTTGGGGACGTTAGATCCCCAGAACTCGCTCCAAAGGCGCTTTTGTCACCTTCATGTCGTATTTCCCACTGGGAACTATCTTAAATGCTATTGGTACGTTGCGTCTTTTAATATGCTATTTGGTAACTCTCCTTAAGGACGGTTTTGCACTGTATATATACGTTTTGAATTGTGTTTGTTGGGATCGCTCGTTTCTGGCTGTTTTGCAGAATATACTTCCCATTCCAAGCTTGGACTTCTCCTTCTAGTTAGCGGGGCTGGGATCCATCAATAGCTAGCTTACTGATCTTTAGTCACTGAGTCTTGTTCTCGTTTGCAGATTAAGTGAACTCGTGTTAGCTTCGAACCTAACAGTTGTGGATAATATGTATGTAAGAAAAACGGTTATCCTACTGTCAAACAATTTTATTGTGCTTTAGTTGAATTCCACCTCATTACTGAATGTATTTTTTTTTGACAAATTGTAACTATCATCTTCAGTTCCTACTGTTTTTATTTATCTCCTCTCTTACTTCTAGTTCTCTGGAAGTGGACAATTCATTGATGAATGAAAAATTAAGTAATTCATTATTGAAAACAAGTGAACAACATCAACATACTGAATCCATAGTAGTAAATAATTCTTCTTCTTCTTTAAATTTATCAATAAACAATAAATCTAATCATCAATTAAACATGGAAAATGCATCACAGTCATCATTAATGAAACGAAGAGGTGCTGGACGTATGCATAAAAAAAAACATAGTTTTTTTAATCAATTAGCATTACCTGATCAAACAGGACCACCTAATTCTACTGGTAAATTAAATAAACAAATTAATTATTTATCATCAACAGATTTGATTACAACAGAATTGAAAAATATTATACGATCAAGAACTACATCAAGTATAGTATTACCATTATCATTTTCTGTAACAGCTACAACAACAACTTTAACAAATCCATCATTAGCTTCAACAGTATCAGTAGAGAAACAAGAATCTATGAAAAAGACAATTCCTTCAACAACAACAACAACAACAACAACATCATCATCATCATTGATACCTAGGCGTTCAAGAAACACATCTTGTCCACCGAGTACAAATAAAGCAACAATTTCTAATGATAAATTTAGTATTCCTTGCCCATTGCCAAGAAATCAAATCAATACAGAAGCACCACCTGTCCCATTAAGAGGTCAACAATTAACACATCAAGATGTTCGATTAAAACTTGCCAATAATAATAATAATAATAATAATAATAATAATAATAGTAATAATAATAATAATAATAGTAATCTGCCAAGGAATAATTCTAATCACTCAAAACCAATCAGTCATAATAATAATAATAATAATAATAACAACAACAATAATAATAATCGATTACATGACGAAACAAGAATGCCAACTCCCACTTCCACTACTTCTACTACTACATCGCCTATATCACGACAACAAAAACCATTTCATCGTAGATTTCGGTCACAGACATCGACCATTGAAATACCAGATGTTAATTTACTGCATACTGATACATATAGAATGCGACAAAACAAACTGAGTACTACTGCTACTACTACCACTACTACTACTAATAATAATTGTAATAGTAATAATATTGCTTATAAAAGACAACATTCCATGAACTGTCCATTTAGTTATACTCAATCATTTTATGAACCATTCGAAAATGATCTATCAGTAAGTAGTCATGCTACTAATACTACTAATAGTGGTAGTAGTAAAACAAATGAGTCTACTGCACCAATTAAAATTATTTCAGTGTCGTCTAGTAGCAAAGACAGTGTTCCATTGAAACCTCACAAAAAATCACCATCTAACCATAGTACTAATGATTACGCTATCAATAATAGTAATAATCATACGACAAAATCCAGTAAATCAATCCATTCGTCTACTGATCACCGATCACGTAATAATAATAATAATAATAATAATAATAATAATAATAACAATACCAATAACAATATAAATACTAATAATAGTAGTATGCCACGATCAGAAAGTGATATGAGTATGATTTCAACAGATTCTTCATTATTATCCTTTTCATCCAATTCATCATCATCTTCATTACGTAAACATAATAATAAAATAAAGGACGATATAACCGATATTACCACAGGAATTCCATGTCCAGTTGTACATCGTCCAGAATTTAATACAACCGGTTATATTACTAATACAAAACGTAAATTTAGCCAAAATACAATACAAAAATCCAATTCACCTCAATCAATTAATGATTATAAACAATTGAATAAATCCACATGTAAACATCCATTATCATCTCAACCATTTATTACACCATTATATTCAACAACAACATCTTCATCATCATCATCATCATTTTCAACATCACCATCACCGACATCATTTAGTAGTTCAGATATTGGTTATGTTACATCACATCATGAAAATTTAGAAAATATTATTCATGAAAATAATTCTAAAATATTAATTAATTGTGTAAATGATGAAAATCGTAGTTGTGGTACCGCAGTTAGTCGAATGAGTTCACATGCTTCAACTATATCAAGTGGTTCAGTGACAGTGATTTCAACATCAACAGAAAAATAATTATCATATTATTTCAAGTAGTTTATTCTTCCTCGCTCTTTTTTTTTGTTTTCTTTCTATGTATCGTTCCTTCCTATACCCTATATCAATTTAGACATAAAATACAATTCATTTGGAATTACATAACTGTAATATGAAATATATATGAATTATTTGTATGAAAGTCTATGAGATCATATATTGAATGAATATAAGATGATCATCAATCTACGCTTATTGTCATTTACATTTGATTCAATTAGAAACTGGTGTTTTTTTTTAAAGAAACAAGAAGAGTACAATATATGAAATAGAATACTTGATATAACAATATTAACGATTCATGTATATACGTACAGTATACATGAATATATTCCACCAGTGATGTATATCCATATAGTAAAGAGAGAGGGAGAGCGAAAAGGAGAAAGAGAGACAATATTCTCTTACTTCTAACATTAAACATTCTTTTGTTTCCTTTTATTTCATTTCAAGTTGGAAAGGTAAACAATAATTAATTAATTTTCTTCATTACATTATCCATATTGATCAATCAATCAATCAATCAGTCAATCAATCAATCAATCAATGAATTTTGCCTACTTTCAAAATGATAACGATTGGTGTAATAATTGATTTTTAATACTTACTACTAAAATTGTATTGATTATTGGTTACTTTTCTTTTGTTCCCCTTTTATGTACATAATATTTGGTATTTATTTTATAATTTGTTTACAGCATACAATATTAGTTTTGTGCTTCTCCTTTCCTAACGTGTCATTATTATTACTTTTTTTGATAGTAAAAATTTCAATATGGAGATTTATAGAGATTGTAGTATTTTCACAATTGAATTCATCAATCGATCTAAACTAGATCACTATTGAAAACATGGAGTCATTGGACATCCGTTTCGTCTTAGTATGCGATTCCTTAACAATACACACCTTCGATCGCGCTACACGATACTAGAGCTATGAATTTTGGGTCACACGGATGGACGCTTATTCTCTAGACCACTGATCCGGTATTTAACGGTGTTAATGTTTACTAGGACGAAATGGACGTTCAGTTCTTCCAGGTTTTTAATGTTAGTCTATCTAAGCTCCGTTCATGATTTAATAAACTCTACAACCCCTTATTGACCATTTTGAAAATGTTAGCCTCTTTGGTATGGTCACTTAAACGAATCATAAGATTATGGAGTCGACTGATCATTAGAGTTCGGTTATGTTATAAACAAGCCATTCGCCTTGTCTTTCATCATTTAAATAAATGACTAAAAATATAACCGGGGAAATCTCATTTCTACTAGTTCAGTATAATTTCTTCTATTCCTAGTAAACAATCAGAAGATGAAGATAGCAAGCCGATAAGCATTCTACAGTTATGAATCTCAAAACGTAAAGAATGGTTACTTTATATCATGTGATCACTGACCAATGTCACGTGACAGATCACCAATCAAAATAATGAATCTAATGGGGTTTATTATGTGTCCATAATTTACTCTATGGCTCAGTGTCTCGAATTTCGCCAATGCACATCAGACCATGACTAATAATCTTGAGTCAACAGCTAGTTACTATTGATTCACGATTCCATGGATTTTTTCTGCTCCGCCCTTGATTATAAAAGTCCACAATTGGCTTCTACTATATTTATATTTCAAAAAGACGTGGTTTATAGACAGACATAGCGAAACGCATATCAGCATAAAATGAACAACAACTATTCTTGAACAAACAGACAGTGACTGTGACTTGGTAAGAATGTAAATGATAAACTGCGGACTCATTAAGAGTAGTACATTGTATAGTAGTAATTGATCAGTTAACCGAAAGCCTATGAAGAAAAGAATATATACAAGTATAATAATCTAGTGCTTTCATAATTATATTTAGCATATATAAATATATATGGTGAGAGGGAGAGAGAGAATCCACAAATTAATTAACATTCCTTCAGTCTTTGTTCTGATTTAACATTTACATACATTAATTACCTGGTCACAATACACCTCAAATAAGAAATCCTGATTTGTATAAAATCAAGTTTCGTAGGTGATTTTAAAAAGAAAGACAATGAGTGGTTAATAAATTAATGATAATTCTGAGATGATGAAACATTTATCACGACAACTAATCACCCAAATGAGACTTTATTGTGACGATGAACCACGAGTGAACTCGAGGAAGCTGTAGGAGGCTCAGGAGGAGCCGAAGATATTCCATCCAATCACCTTTTGGAAAAATATTCTAGAATTTCTACTTGTAGCTCCCCGATTGGATAATGCTAATAATCCCTTGTATGCGGATTGGAGGACTGTAGTGGTGATTTCATTCTTACTAAAAACTATAAATACCTGACAATTTTGTACTATAATTGACACTGTCTGGGAATAATATTCCTTTCATTAGTCTTCTGTCTTCTCATTGCGACTTGGAAGGGTTCTGGCGTTCTAGTGCTCACGTTATACGCGGTATATCAAGAACAACCTTCTAGATATAACATATTTAGGGCAATATGAAGACATTATCAAAACAAATGATTTAGCAACTATACACTGGTGAAATATGTAATAATCTATCCCGCCACTCTCACATATTCACATCTATATAACAGGAGTCCGTGGCTTCTTCAACTCATCTGTATGAAGATGGTTTTTGATACAAAATGTTATGGATAAGATGGTCAATCATGAGCCATCTAAACCTATGACTTTTTATGATATTGAACCGAAGACTTTCTACATCTATAGATAATACTTGATTTTTTATAAAGAAAAATGCACCACTAAAAATGTGAGATATTTTCACTCTGATGAGAAGCTTTCATTGATCAGTTAAGAATTGTTAAAAGATGATTATTTGCCATCAGAAAATGTCTCAACAAAAGCTGATACTGATCAAGTTAAACTGTTTAGATTATTTGCATTTATGTGAATTGAGTTATACAAAACTTTGTCATGAATCGTATCGTAATTTCTTGTGTAAGTTTATAGGTTCAATTCGCAATGGATGATTGAATGAAATTAAAACATCTATACTTATTATTGATCATTAGTGAGATGATTCTGTGGTACTGCACTGATGAATCCCTCTCCGTAGGTTCGAAATTACATTACACATTGTTGCAACCAGAAAGATAGGTTTCTGAATTTTGAAAAAAGCACTACATTTGTCATTCCTTTCAGAAAAATTATTGCTAATTAATGTGAATACATACGTTTTATAAATTGAGAACTTCCCTAATCAGATACTCTCTATTATCTAGTGTAGAATAAATTAACCTTCTATTCAGGTACCAGCATATATCGTGGTAATAAACACATCTATATTAGAGATACTTGATGAATCAACATAAAGTGATATGCAGTCCAACAATCTCCACAAACTACACTAATAATAATTATGTGATTACTCTTGACCAATTTCTAGTGATATATATATATATATACAAGCGGCATCAACATATGCTTGTGAAACGAGATGTAGAGTTTTTGGGTTCTATCTTCAGTCTGGTGGGAAACTTGCACTGTTGAGCTTTCCTATCTAATGATAAAAGAACTATTTAATGCTTCCTAATTACCAATGATTATCTAACTAAGGTTAATTCTCCATGTAAACTATGGAGTTGATATAAGTTAAACAAAAAACTTGTTAAGGTATAATTTATATGTTTTAAATCAAATTCGTCATTTCAGACAGCGAACAGAATGTTCAGAGTTTAAGCTTAATCCCACCATGATTTAATTAGAAATGTTAGAACAATATCAGTCGGTATACGTTTTGTGAATTTTGTTTGTTGATAAATCTTCTAATTGAACACTAGATTCGGTTCATAAGCTCTTCTAGTAACCCTCAGGTTAGATCTACACGGCAACTTGAACACGAGAGAAGAAACGTTTTACTCCAAAGGTTCGTTTATGTACAGAAAATCTAGGGTTTTTATATTATTTCAAATATCCTTGGATTTCCGGAAAATTCTGGAACGCTACTAAACATAGTAGCAGTATAGTTAATCATTTAATTAGAAACTCGACATGTGATTTTTCACTTTCAATATATTTCTGACAAAACTTCTAGTGAATTATGATTAGATAAGATGCTTCTCAGTGTTTTTAGAGCCTTTGTTGGTTGTTTTTGAAGAGTTTTCTGAATCTCCCCAACACTCTGTCAGCTACAATTTTTCATATATTCTACTAATATTATACAATTTGAAACTGTGCTATTAGTGTATTCAAGGAAAAAATCTAGAATTCCAGTATGTCGTCTATCGTTTTTCATGAATTCCCACTGAAATATGACATATACATTGAAATTAGAAAAGAAATCGCTCTACCAATAATTAATCATCCATAGACATTCATTTTATTCATTATCATGAACTTAGCCACAGGAAAGTATTTTTGACAAAAAAAAGATATTATACAGTATTACAGCAAATTCCTGATTGTTATAACTTATGTCCTTGTGCCTTATTAATATATAACGTAATGATAACGCCAATTAGAGAACAGTGATTTATCGGCCAGATCATTGACATGTAAACCTGTACAAGTAGTCAAGAGTTATTATCAATTTTTCTTCCTGTCTAGCCCTGCCTTCGCTATATGAATCATGTATTTCAAACATACTGAGTTTATATTACAAACCAAACCGACCACATCGCAATACAAAATGGAAAATAACATTCATACAAGATCTAGTCAAAAGTGACTGTGAATGTGAGAGACACTAATTAATAAACTAGGCATAATTTATGAATGGTAAATTGTATAATAATAGTCTCTGAGTCAAAATAAAGCTTATAATAAGAGGAACATGAATATGCATAGTTTAGCTACTTACTAATTATACAACAAAAATATATGTATTGTATTGCTCCATAATTAGTTCACAAAAGTGACCATTCATAATTCTCGTCAGGATATAACACTTATCATACGTTCATGTAATATTCATCAAAAATATGCTTTTCAATTCATTTCTACTATGATTATTTGTTAGTCAGTTA